TCTATATATCTTACATCTTAGTGTTTCTTGTTGGTTAATCATATATAATTACAAAAAACTCAAATGAAACAAATGAATGCTCGATAAGGGATTAACATGTTATATAACGGGATTATGTATCTATCTGTGAGATTGTATGTAACTCTTTCTTATGTTATACATACTTAAGATATTAATTAGCTGCATGTTCGTAATTTTTCTGAGTAAAACACTAATATCTTATGTATTTTTGAATACGTCAAATATTATAGTGGTGTATGTAAATCACTTGATTTAAATCTCTATATGTACAGCTGCAAGAGTTATTTTGTTCGTTGGATCTTAATTATATATTTTGCTAAATTGTGGGTCCTAGGTTAATGTATCCATGGCTAACCATTTTCGGAAGTCTGCATGCCAAACTTTCTTAAATACTAACTTTGTAGACCAGAACAAACTTTCATGCATGCATTTTCAAACGTCATTTACAAGGTCTTAAACTATGATTAATCCGGGATTTTTATAGTGGAGTTCTTAACGGAAGTTAAAAAACTGTTAATTTTTAATTAAAAAACTAAAAATCGATTCTTAAATTCCTTATTTAAGAACCGTTTACTAGCCTTTTTAATTAAAAGTTAAAAATCAATTTCTAACTTCTGCTAAGAACTTCACTTTAACAATTCTAGGTTAATCATGCTCTCAGTATCAATTTGTTGGAGTAAAAGATTACAGGTTGCGGTCGAAAGAAAATATTCTAGGCTAGCTTGTTTGTTCTGGGGAAAAAATACAGACTATATATTGGAGTTGTGGAAACTATCCCACTCATTGGCATGACGACAGTTTGCTTGTAGACATAAAACACATGTACAGTGAAACCTCTATAAATTAATAATGTTGGACTTTGAAATTTTATTAATTTATATAGATATTAATTTACGAAAGTTTCCTTATTTAGATTTTTTCTATTTTTATTTATAAAATAAAAAATATTTGATTTTAGCATATGTACATTATTTAAACTTTAGAAATTTTACTTTATATTGTTTTATTAACTTATTTGGTGTATATTTTTATATTTTATAGAATTGTTACATGGTTTTTGATGTAATTTAACTAAATATTATCAAAATATATGAAATGTTTAAAAAATAAAAGTATTTTTTAGAGTAAATATATATCCCCTAACTAAATATTATCAAAATATACTGAAATGTTTAAAAAAATAAGAGTATTTTTATAGTAAATATAAAACCAACAATATAATGTTAGATTGTACTTATATAAAATTATATATAGCTAGATTATTACTTTATGATTTTAGTGGGACCATATATTTACATGGCAGATTTAAAATATTATTATCTTATTATTTTATCGATTTGTGTCATATTTTACACCGGGCCAAGTTGAGACCGGTGAAATTTAGTAATTTATAGAGATTATTAATTTATCGAGTATTAATTTATAGAGGTTCTACTGTATAAAGAAAATTTATTTGAAAAAAATCAGAAGTTATATCGAGTATTAAATCCTTTTATAATTCATTAGTCGTGTTACACGTCGTACTTCATTAATCATGTGAATTTCTTGTTCAGAATTTTAAATACGAATGAGAATAATATTCTTTGAAAGGAAATGATAAACAAAATGCATGCACACGGCGCGACCCTCGTTGATAATAAATTAATACTACTACAAAATTATTGGAGCACTTAATGTTAAAATAAGTTAAGAATGAAAGTAACTTTAAAACACGAATAAAATTAAAGATGTTGAAAACTAAAAGGATGACCAAAAAAAAATTAAGCTCCATCGGGCGTTTGTCTTATTTTAATTTCCTAAAATGGATAAATAACATTTTTATTAAATATGAAAAAATTAAAATACAGTAAAAACTCTATAAGTTAATAATTTTGAGACTATGATATTTTATTATTTATAAAGCTATAATTTATAGAAGTTTTTTTTTTAAGATTTTTACTATTTCTAAATATTTTTATTTATAAAATAAGAAAATAGCCGATTTTCCCGTATATACATTAATTAAATTTTTGAAATTCAACTTTCATATTTGATTATATTATTTGGTGTATTTTTATATTTTTTTAAATGTGGTTTTGGATATAATCTTACTATATATTATCAAAATATATTGAAATGTTAAGAAGTTAGAAATAGTTTTATCGTGAATATAAACCAACAATATAATATTTAGTTTGTACTTATATAAAATATATATACACATAAGTTATTAATTTATAATTTTTAGTGGAATCATATATTACATATGATTTTTCTTTAAAAAAAGATTGTCTTATAACTTTACCAATTTGTATCTTATTTTGAATCGGCTGAGCATGAGACCGAAAAAACTATCAATCTATAATGTTTATTAATTTATCTAGTATTAATTTATAAAGATTATATTGCGGGTCAGATTGGTAATGAAACTGTTGAGGAATTGTGGTTATATAAAGCCATGCAAGGTAAAAAAAGAAAGAATTCCAATCTATTTTTTAGTTTTTAGAAATCTGTACAATTTTAAAAATTTATATTTAGAAAAATCTGTTTATTGTTCATTTTTTTCTACGGTCACTTTCTAAGACTAAAGGATTTTCTCCTTTTTTTTTGAACAACATTTTATTAAGTAACTAAACTGTTTATAGATGATACAAGAATTGAATTAACCAAACTGGAAGAAACGAAAAACAAACTACATCAAAATCACAAATACTAAACGCATGCCTAGCCAAAGAATCTGCAACCATATTCCTCTCACGGTTAACGCAGCCAATAGAGCATGCCGGTAATAGAGACATCCAATGACGCATATCATGTAACACATTACCCAACTCCGAATGTTGCACCTCCATCTTATTGACCAAATTTACAAGAACTGCACTATCACTTTCAAACCAGAGTGATCACATTTGTATTTTTGTTTTTTGTTTTTTGTTTTTACTTTCAAACAAACATGTAAAAGAAATAACAAATATAATAATTGGCTATAAATTTAAAGCCAAATCTCGCTACAATTCTAAAGGCAAATTAGAGCGAAAGTCGTTCTCAATCGGAACTTGTATGTATATAATAACTGAAGCACGTTACAATTTTTAAACAGAAGAAAGAGGGTAACATGAGTCCTCTTGTCTTGACCCAATCTGCCAATCAAACATACTTAAAGTCCTAAAACAATTTAAAGGGTGCCCATTAGGCCCACACCAAATTTAAGGAGGAGATAAGGAAATATAAACCTAGGTAAACAAAAAAAAACTAATTGAACTTTGTGACAAAACAAAACCTAACTGATGATATTACGGTGCATTAATTTGAATGTCCCATTATTTTCTGCAGAAGAATGGTTCATTTTCAGAGGCTACTTCAGGCTACCGTTAGTGATAATACGTAAAAAAGTGTGTCAAAAATCTTCCTAATGATATTGTTAGGATTGAGTGAAAAATTATGATAGTATAACTAGTAAGGACTCCCTACGTTTCAGAAAGAATGTCACTTTGACTCATTTCACATAAATAAAAAAATCAGTAAAATATACTCCCTCCGTTTCAATTTAGTTGTCATTCTACGTTTTTGCACACAGATTAAGAAAACAATTAATTTTACATATTTTCAAAATAAAAACACAATTACCTATACACCTAACCATTTTTCAACCAATGAAAAAATAGAATGACATTTAAAATCAATAAATTTTGCTTTGAAATTATAAAACGACACTTATTTTGAAACGAAAATTTTACTCTAGAATGACTTATAATTTGAAACGGAGGGAGTACTAATGTGTCCCTATTTATTATATAATTGTTTAAATGAAAATTATTTAACTAAATATCTATTGGTTATTTAAAAAGTAAGAAAGATATTTAATATGAAAAATTGTATTGGGAATGTATAATGAAATTTATTTTGAAACAAAATTTAAAAGCTAAAATGACATTCTTTATGAAACAGAGGGAGTAAATACATTTCTGTATAAATACAGACAAAAATATTTGTATAAATACATTTTTAAAAATATTTCTAATTTTATTTATAATCAATTTGATGTTTGGTTTAAACTTTTTGACAAAAAGAAGTAATGATTTGTTATGCTGATTTTTGAATTAAGAAAACATAAACTAATAAGTATTTGTTATTCTTTCTATGATTTTAGTTAATTTTGATTATTTATCATCATGATGGTTTTCAATAAAACAGAAACTAATAAATATTTTTCAACTTCGTCTTGGTAATTTTGTTGAGCTGTCATATTTTCATCGTTTTATATATAATTTATTATATATTTAAAATAAATTTATATTAATAATATTATATTTTTAGAAAAATAATTCATATGTCTTATGTTGTTATCTTGAAATATATATTTCCTATTATAAAATTTTAAAATTAAGATATAAAAATTATAATTAAGTATAAACTAAGCAAAAACATTTGTATAAATATATTTTCTAAAATATTTTTGATATGTGAATGTTGTCATTTATAATTGATTTGATGTTTGATTTAAACTTTTTAAAAATATAAATAATAATTTATTATGCTAAATTTCGAATTAATAAAAAATAAACTAATAAGTATTCATAAGAAAATTATATGGTAAAGTTTAAAAATAGAAAATATTCTTCTTATTATTAAACTAAATCTCTGTTAAATACTTTAATATAAACCCGTTAACTGAAAAATAGATATATTCTTCTTATTATCTAACAATAATAAAAGTTGCATATACTCAACAGAGAGGCCTCCACGTCAGATAAAATATTCAGGCCAATAAGGTCATGTTATTATGCCACGTCACTACCATTTGTGTTTGTCGATTAGATTTTATTTTTTGGAGTCTGTTACATTTTTCTTGGGCCGTTCTATTTTCAGATTAGGTCAAGCTTCCTCTCCTCTCCTTGCCTCTCATCCTCACCGAATCATCTCCTTTCGTTCTGTTCTTGATTTTTCCACTTCTCCAAAATCTCTTTTCCACTTCTCCACTTCTCTTCTTCCTTCCCTAGGGTCCGATCCGAGTTATCATGAAAGTAGAACGAGCCAAGAAATACGACGATCTCAATTCCGCAAATGGAGGATACACTGCTGAAGAATTCTCTGTCGAGAGAATCTACGAAGAGAACGCCAATGCTCCTCATTCGTGGCAGAATCAGCTCACGTTCAGAGCGATGATCGTGAGTTTCATCCTCTCGATTCTCTTCACCTTCGTGGTGATGAGTCTGAATCTAACGACCGTGAGTTTTATGCTATTTTCTATTTCAGATGAAATGGACTTGCTTGATGTTATCTGATATCCATAGATTGGTTGTCGTTCACGATCCTTAAAGGTAATCATATATTTTTTGACAAGAGAGACAAAGAGATGTCAATGAACCAAATCTGATGCTCATGACTAGACATCTCTTTTTTGTTCAAAACTAGACATCTATTTCTTTAGAGTTTCTGAACCTACAGCATCTATTTATTGTGTTGTTGGTTTGTTACGTTTAGGTTGTGGCAAGATTCGCAGCACAGAGTCACACTAAACACTGTGCTTAAGAAACATTATGAACTGGTTGGTCTTTCTTCTGCTTCTCTTAAATCTTTCAATAGAATGTTTCATTCCTCAATCTGAATAACATTTTTATTTTGTTCAATGTTGATCATGTTCTTGTGGAGTGTAGAGGCCTACGGCTCTTACGGTGGATGACAAGCTGAAGGTCCTTGGATGCAAGTAAGCTGTTTTTTTTTTTAAATTCTGATATGATATTTTTTCTTATCATCTTCTTTTACTTAACAGAAGATGTAACTAATTGTTTTAATAGAGATCTTGAGAGGAGAATTGTTGAAACTGAAATGAAGTTGGCACAGGCGAAGAGTCAAGGCTATCTTAAAAACCAGAAAAGTCTTTCTTCTTCTTCAGGGAAGAAGAAGATGTTTGCTGTTATTGGAGTTTACACATGCTTTGGGAGTCACTTGAAACGCAATAGAATTAGAGGTTCTTGGATGCCCCAAGGTTAGAGTAATAGTACTATCACCATCAACGTTTGCTCATCATCCAACACTGATTTACTTTAAAAAAAAAAGATTTTCTTCTCTTTAGATGATGCTTTGAAAAAGCTTGAAGAAAGAGGAGTTGTCATACCCTTTGTGATTGGTCGGAGGTTTTTTCCTACTCACTTTACTCTTCATTTCTTTTGATTTTTTTTCCAATTGTTGGCAATGCTTTTTTCACGCTTTGTCTCATCATATGGGTGATAAACTGATAATACTGATGTTGATGCTTTATAAATATCCAGTGCTAACCGAGTTGATAGCTTAGACGGGAAAATTGATGAAGAAAATGGTGCAACTAAAGACTATTTGATATAAACAAATATGATATTTTTTCTAGCTCACTTTGTAGAACAAGTATGTTTGCTTCTTCTTCTGGCCATGTTATACTCAGTGCTGGTCAAGCTTTTAGGCCTTTTCTATGTCTTTATTAGTGATGCAACCTTATATTCAATAGGGTTAATGGATTGTATGTGCAGGTGGTTGTTGCTGTGGATTTCAAAGACCAAGCCACAGGACAGCAAACAATGCAGCAGAATCTTCAAAACATCAGCCTATAAACGGGCACTCCCATGGAATCTCACTGCAGCCTCGGTCCTCACTCCTTTCGCGTTCTCCAAGCTCCAGGAACAGCCTGTACTTGCAGCTCACTACGCTTCGTTCCAGATGGAGGACGGGTATCTCGTGAGGCACCACACAAAACTCGATGGAGGAAGAAAAGTGTACTGAGACAAAGAAGGCATCATAAGCTGCAGTTGCCAACTGTTTTGAGTTCTCCGGGTTTCTCTGCAGGCATGCGCTTCGTGTCCTCTCAACCAGAAACTGTTTCCAGCTCCTGGACAGGTATCTTCCTCTGAGGTGGCGCAGGATCAGCACATCGTTTAGCAAGAATTAAAATTAAAGCAGTTGCTTGATGGCATAATTCTATAATTCTCAAACAACTAAATGGATTTTTAGGCTTGGGTACACTATTATAGATGTTTGATGCAGTGTTTCACAAGTTTCTCTAGAATTTTATCTATCAAAATAAATTGAAAATCAATTAGAAAAGTTAAAGTAACAATAAAAAAATAAATAAAAACTGGTATAATATCTCTCTGAAAAATCAACATAAAATATGTAATTAACAGAAAAACATACATTATGTGTCTTATAAACTATGAAAAGTTCAAAAGATTTTGAAAAATTAAAACTCATAATTTTTGACAAACTTATTTATAATAGTTAGGGATAGAAAATGTCCAGTTAGGGATAGTTACCTCGCTTTTAAATAAATATGAAAAGTTGAAAGATACATAATATAGCTAAAAGACTGATGTTGAATCTTTTAAAATGACAAACCTTTCTTATTAAATTATAGTTATACACATCACATATATCATATCTCTATAACATGTTGGAAATTTAGTATTTTCATAAATTAGTTATAACTTAAGAAATATTCCGAGTAAGTTCTCAAAAATTATATATTTTGAAATACTATCTCTTTATAGACTATAAAATACTATTTTAGCGCTACTTTCATACTGAGAGATATATTTAGAAAATTAAGTGAAGTGATAATTTAGTAGTTTTAAAACATATCATGAAAACATAAATACAATATTTGTTGAAGGTGTAAACTTTGACAAACATAAATTCCACTACAATTTTCAAGTTTTTTGCCTTGCATATTATCGAATGGAAAATCAGGTTAGGTCCTTAAAATGATAAAGACCAGCAGAATAACCGAACTCATAATTAAATCTAGAGAAAGTAAACAAGGCACAAATTATACTATAGGTGTCTTATATTTATCAACATAATTAGAGACAATTTGCAAGTAATCAATAATACATCTATTATGCTTGACAAATTAATTTATATTAATAAAAAAACATCTAAATGAAAAGTTAAACATTCTAGACAAAAGAGACATAGAAATAAAATCAAAGCAATACAACAAAAGTGAAGTTAATAAATAAAATATTATTCTTACATATTAAAAATTGTTTCAATCCTAAAGTCACATTCAACAAACTGTTTCCAAATTGATAACATATATTTGAAGTGTTTGGAGAATTTTTTCTTACGGTGTATTTATTTATGGTATACTATACTAAATCTAAAATTAAATATAATCTAAAAATAAATATATAAATGAAAATAATAAATATTTCAAAAGAGGTAAGCCGCGCGTAGCGCGGAAAAAATCTCTAGTTAAACTAAATCTTTAATAAATCCTTTAATATAAACCGGTAATTGAAAAAAAGAAGAATCTCAACAATGGCTTTTGTCCTAAAAAGACTCTAAATTAGGAATATGACTTTGAATAAAGAGACGACTTCTCCGGATTCTTTCTGTAGATGAAGCTAAGGGTCCATTCAATTCAAATAGAGAAAATCAAAAGCATCGCCATTTATAGGAGTCTAATTAATAGTTTAACAACAAAACTAATTCTACTCCTACATTTTTTCATTAGTCAACGGAAAACAATTAATTTAGTAATCAAATTCAAAACACAAAGACAAACCTGTTCTTTCGGGTGTCTCGAGACGAACACCAAGTTCAAATCTTCCTTCTTAATATTTATTTTTAATGATTATCTGTCTTTCAATCTCTTAAGGTGCTGAGAATAAAAAAACGTTAAAAGTAATTTTAATGGTGGTAGACAAAAGCAGTGAAGCTTCTCCCTTGTGTTGTGCTCTTCCGATGTATACTCATTTCTATGTTTTTTTATTCTTTCTCGTTCTTGATCAAGTCCTGTTTAAAGACAAGAAATGATATGTCTGAATCTTCTTTTCTGTTACTCTTGCAGGCACAATCCAAAATATTCAAGTTATGTCACTGAAGATGATTCAAACGACCTTAATCATACTACAAAACACAAAAGAACCAATGCATTGCTCACCAATTCTGCTTCAGCTCACGGTAACACCCTTTTCTCTGTTTTATCGTGTATATATAATATATATCAATCTTGCTTGCGCATCACGAAACCTAGTATTTTGCATGGATCTCACGAATGTTTTTTGTGTCTCTCTATCTATTATTCACTCAGATATGAGATGTGTAGAGGTAGAGAAAGAGAAGCAAGATACTAACTCACCAAGAGGAGCCCTAGAAGCTTGCTTAACCCGATGTTCCATCTCTTCCACCTCCTCTTCCATAGACGATCCTCCTCAAAACAAAGACGCTACAGAAAACGCAGACGCGGAAGCAGTTAGCAAGAACCACAGAGCATATTCTAATTGGGGAAAGTTCTTCAAACTTTGGAAACGCAAATCAATGAAACGCCTCTCTTCCTTCCCTTCATTAGGCGGCGTCCCAGCGATCTCTAAACGCAACAAAAACGCAGATCAACACATAGACGTCCTAAACGTTCACGATATCTACGATTTCCAATCAACTCTACACAACTTCTCAATCTCTGACCTAGAAATCGCAACAGACCATTTCAGCTCTGGTAACGAATTTTACTACATTAGGGTTTGTTTAGTTGCTTCTACGACTTGAGAGTTGAGATTAAGAGACGCTGCTAAACGTTTTGCAGAAAACATAATCGGGAGAGGCGGTTACGCAGAGGTTTACCAAGGGATACTACCAGAAGGGAAACTAATCGCTGTGAAACGTCTCACCAAAGGCACACCAGACGAGCAGACAGCTGAGTTTTTGTCCGAACTAGGGATTATAGCTCATGTTGATCATCCAAACACAGCCAAGTTCATCGGTTGTTGCACTGAGGGTGGAATGTTTCTTGTTTTCAGACTATCTCCTCTTGGAAGCCTAGGCTCTCTCCTTCATGGTATATACGTCCACTTTTAAACCTAACTCTGATAATACCATACTTCAAACTTTTAGTACCAAGAAATCGTTAGGCGGTAATTAGACGTTTTATTGGGGAAATCGTTACGGACTTTAATAACACTGAATTGTACTAAATGTTCTGTTTAATCTTTGTAGGACCTTCGAAAAATAAGCTGACTTGGGACAGACGTTACAAGGTGGCGTTAGGAACAGCAGATGGACTGATGTATCTACACGAGGGTTGTCAAAGACGTATCATTCATCGAGACATTAAAGCTGATAACATTCTCCTCACTGAGGATTTTCAACCGCAGATTTGCGATTTCGGATTAGCCAAATGGCTTCCTAAGCAATTGACGCACCATAATGTATCCAAATTTGAAGGAACATTCGGGTAACGGTTTGTATATCAATTTGTTTTTTTAATATGGTTTAGTGAAGAGTATGGTATGACAACGTTTTGATTAGGTACTTTGCGCCAGAATATTTCATGCACGGAATAGTCGATGAGAAGACCGATGTTTTCGCCTTTGGAGTTCTTCTCTTGGAGCTCATAACCGGCCATCCTGCCCTTGACGAGTCTCAGCAGAGCCTTGTCTTATGGGTGAGTAGGTTAAACCCAAAATAGTTAATTGGACATTCATTATACATGTTTGGTACACAAGTAGTAATATTGTGTCATTTTAATTATGGCCACAGGCCAAACCGTTACTAGAAAAGAAAGAGATAACGAAATTGGTGGATCCGTCTCTTGGAGATGAGTATAACCTAGAAGAGCTTAGCCGGTTAACTTCCACGGCCTCTTTATGCATCGATCAGTCTTCTCTTCTACGACCTCGAATGAGCCAGGTACAAGATTTTATCTCCTTCCGGTTCGGTTCCGGTTCATACATGTAGTGTTATTCAGTTTGATCTATAAATCTTTTTCTGATTCTTACGTTTCTTTATACGTTAAATTTGTTTTTTCAATGCTTTAAAGCTTTTCTGATTCTTAAGTCCAAACTTGACGTCGTTTGTGATCCTTGTTTGATCAATTGTATTATTTTTTGCATTGTATTCAGGTTGTGGAATTATTATTAGGCCAAGAAGGTGTGGATATGACTCTAAGAGAAGACAAGGGAAAGATGATGCAACGAACGTATTCTGAAGAATTATTAGATAGTATAGAGTATAACTCAACTAAGTACTTGAGAGATCTTGATCACATTCGAGATGTTGCTTTAGCTTCTTGAAATTACACAAAAAAATTACGTATAAAATTATATTGGTTTCTTTCTTTGACGAATGTAAATATTAAATTCAAATTTAGATAGTAGCTATTGTACAAATCTTAGGCAAAAAAAAAAAAAAAAAATCTAGACATAGTAATCGTTTCACTCATTTTAAATTCGTTTTATATTCATACGGAAATGACTACAAAACAACTTTTTTGGCATCAGTACTAGAAAAAATTTTGCAACACAGTTCGATATATTATTTGAAAAATTATGTATAGCAGTTTATATTTACATCACAAATGAGAGTAACATGTATCACATTGAGCCGTATTATAAAAATTCATGTGTAATAGTCTTACTTACACAATTTTTAAAGTGTTCAATATATATTGTTTTAAAAAATTACATAACTTATGATAAATTGAATTTTCCAGGATCTAAACCATAATATAGCGTCAAAAATTTAATAAAACTTAAATCAAACTACAGTGAAACCTCTATAAATTAATAATGTTGAGACTATACCAAAACTATAACTTTTTTATTAATTTATAAAGATTATTAATTTATCGATATACTAAATGAACCAAAAACTTTATTTTGAATTATAAAATGATATTAATTTATAAAAAATTTAGTGCATATTAATTTATCGATTATTAATTTATAGAAATTCCAATGTAATAGAGTAAATCGAATTTCACTACGATTTCGGTCTAGTTGAACCGGATATGAAAATTAAGACTAAACCGAAAAGACCGGCAAAATCGACTGGTAGACTAAACTTAAAATCACGTGACAGCCACTTGCAACCTTATACTGACAAGAAAAGACCCGATAAGATAGTCTTACCCTTAAATTCTGGGACCCCAACTTTTGAATTTTCGAATTTACCCTCCAAAAAAAACGAAGATTGATTACTGTCTTTATCTTCCCAATCTCCCCACTAGACACTTGCATCGAAATCCTCAAAACCCTAATTCCCCGCCGCCACTTTCCACACAAAACAATGGCCAAGAAGAAAGCGTCGCGTAAGAGTAACGTCAACGATAATCCACAAAGCCACGACGACGAGAAAGCCACGAAACTTACCCGGCAGTCTTCCATGGAGGACTCTTCGGAGGAGAGAGTGCAGAATCTTAAGTCTCTCAACGCGATGCTTCTCAAACAAACCGTGGAGAAGCGGCAGCAGATCGATTCGCTGGCGCAGGCCAAGAGCGAGCTTGAGACCGAGTTGGCTCGGTACGGATCGGAGCGAGGCGAGTTGCGGAGCGAGTTGGATGAGGTTAGCGACGAGAATTTGGGGTTGAGGATGGAGTTAGGGTTTGTTATGGATTTCGTCGGGTGTAGGTTTAGAGAGATGAGTGTTGGAGTGGAGAGGTTGGTTGATGATAGAGAGAGAGAGGTTAGGGTTTTGAGAAGGGAAGTTGATAGGGTTTTGAGTGAGGTTGAGAGTGGTAGGGAGAGGTTGAGGGAGGTTAAGAATGAGTTTGAGGTGAAGTGTGGGGAGGTGAGGAGGTTGGAGGAGAAGGAAGGTAGTTTGGAGAGGGTGATTGAGGGGTTGAGAGGTGAGAAGGAGAAGATGGTGGAGGAGAGGAAGGAGAAGATTGTTTTGGAGAAGGTTATGGAAGAGAAAAGGAAGGAGATTGAGGGGTTGAAGAGGGAAGTGGATGTGCTTTTGGGTGTTAAGAATGAGATGGAGGTTGTAAAGAGTGATCAGAGAGGGGAAATAGAGGAGTTGGAGAGGAAGTTAGGGAAGATGAGTGGTATGGTTATTGAGTTGGAGAAGGAAGAGAAGGTTTTGAGGGATATGGTTATTGAGTTGGATAAGAATCTTGATGAGTCTATGGAGAAAGAGAGGGAAATGATGGTCAAGATTGATGTTATAGGGAAAGAGAAGATGGTTAAGGAGTGTGAGCTTGAGAGGTTAATGGAGGAGAAGAGTTCAGTTGAGAAACAAATGGAGATAGTCAATGGGCAGTGTTCAGATAAGGAGAAGTTGATTGACCAGTTGTCTCGGGAGAAAGTTGAGCTTGAGGAGCGTGTTTTTAGTGGAGAGGTAAAGCGTGTTGAGTTGAAGCGAAAGGTTGATGAGTTAGAGCATGCCGTTGCTGCGTTACAAAAGGATTGTAATGATCGAACCGAGACCAATGAGAAGCTTATCTGTAAAGTTGGAGAGCTAAGGGATGCGCTTGAGCAGGTTGAGTTTGAGAGAGTAAAAGCTGATAAGGCACTTGATGAGGAGAAGAAACATGGAGAGGATCTCAAGGCAGATGTTTCAAAATCAGAGAAGATGATTGAAACAACTCTAGAAGAGCTTGAGAAGATTAAGATTGAGCGTGAGAGTTTATCTACAGCAAAGGATGATTTGGAGAAACAATCCAAATCACTTAAAAGCGAAAAGACTATCCTCGAAAAGGAGCTTGCAGAGCTCACAAAAGCTATGTTGGAGCTAGAATCAATAGAGAAAGCGTTCAAAAGCAAAGAGAATATAATCAAGGAGATGAAGAAAGAAGCTGAGACAATGAAGCAATCAACAGAAGAGGCACACAGGAAGAAGAGTTTCTGGACTGCTGTTTCGTCTGTAACAACCATTTTTGCTGCTGCATCCTTTGCCTATGCCTCTAGGACACGTTAAGCACACCTCAACATGGTTCCCTTGACTAGCTTCTTATTATTCAAGCTGTTTACTTTCTGCCATGCAAAATAATGTTTGTTTAGTTCTCAGCAACTCTAATATGGAATATAATCTTTTTTCTGAGCTCTTACATGTGCATCTACTGATTTTCTTGAGAGCCATGTGTGGTCTTGTTGAATAGGCCACTGATTGAAAGCAAACAAAAGTTGAGACTTTCTGTATACACAAGCTTTTGCTGTTTCTTCATCATTGTACCAAGATTCTTCACATGTCCAAACAAAAACCTTTTATGCCTTTTTGGCTTTTTGAAACACAGAATACAAAAGATTTAGTCCTTGTGCAATCCTTATTTTGTAAATACATCAACAGTACAATGAAAAAAAGAGGACCAAAATTACAATACAAGATACCTAATGCTGAAGTATATAACATTAATTATCACTCCAATGCTGAAGAATCTCAGCTATTAAGTTAAGTAAAGGTTAACAACTACAAGCCAAACATTACAAAGAACAAAAGATATTTTACTACTATACTATTTTGTTCTTGCCTCTGCTAAAACAACCACTAACCTCAACTTTCCGCGTTTACAAACTCAGAAATCTCATCCATAACATTATGGAAATAAACGTTATTAGGCAATAGATAGAAGCCAATAGTAGCTTTCTCTAGATGCACAAGCTTAACCTCTTGACCTGCTCTCTTGAGTCCTTCAGCGTAAGCTAACTGCCAATCCTGAATCAAATCCAAACCGGCTACAACCACAAGACTCTTAGGAAACTTCAACCCTTGTAAACACTTCGCTCTGGAGCTAAAAGGGTTACAAGCAGGATGCTCTCTATCTTCCCCTTGCGGTAAAAACGCTTTCCAATACCAATCACGGTCCCTAACCGTCACAAAGTACTTCCCATCTAAACGTTTCTCAGACTCAGTCCTCTCCTCCCCACCAAACATAGGGTTAAGCAGAACGTTTCCCAAAACGTTTATCCCCGCTTCAACCGCCTTTAACGCCACGTTATGAACTATGTTCCCACCTGAGCTATCTCCCGCTAGAAAAATATGAACCTTTGAGTCTTTCTTGGACTTAAGCCAAGTCCTTGAGTTAACCCAGTTAAGAGCCATCCAACCATCATCATAAGCACAAGGGTAAGGGTTCTCAGGCGCACGCCGATAATTCACAGAGACAATAACACAGTTACATGTACCAACAAGCCTGCGGCAAAGAGTGTCGTAGATCTTACTGTTTGCAGAGGAATGAGCAAAGCTACCTCCATGGAAGAACAATATAACAGGGACTATCTCTCCATCAACTGGCTTCTCGAGATCTAACACATTAAGAGGTCCCTCTTGGTCTGCATAAGCTGGTCTATAGACTCTGCTTAGGAGACTTATACTTCGGTCCATAACCACATCGAATGAGAACACACCGTCTTCAGGATTAGCGTTTGAAGTGACTTTACGGTCTAGATACTCGGCTAAGTGTCGGTTAAATGTTCCATCTGGTCGACGTAGGAGGTTGTAGGAGAGCTTGAAGGTGGAAATTAAAACCCATGTATTGAGTGGAACCACTGTCTGCATTTAAAAGAAAAAACATAATTAGATAATTGTATTAATGCATTAACAAGAAAAATCAATTAAAGAAGCATCAAAAGATGAGCTTTTTAAACATCAAAAACGAAATGAGAATCCTTTTTCTTGCTTAACGTTAACACTACACATAATCTTGATTCAAAATCAAAACAAGAAGTTAGAAAATGCTAAAAGAATCATAAAGAGAGACCTATCAAGCAAAACGACACGTTTCATCACCTTAACTGAGTTAAAGTCCTAACCTTTGAATTTCTTTATTTATTTAAACACTATTCTACATAAGCTCAGACATAAGAACAGAACCGTAAGAACATAAACGAACCTAAACTAAAAAGGAAAATAGAAAGAGAGACCCATGTCAAAACTTTCACTCAATTTAGATACTTTTTAAAAAACAAACTTACCTTGCTATCAATAAGATTAACTTCATCGCTTGCAGCCATCGAAGAAGAATCAAAACACACGAATCAGATCAAAAGAACGAGACTTTTCGAGTTGAGAAGCGAAAACTCGTTGCTTGATTTGTGAAAGTTAAAAACTTTAGACCAAATGGATTTTTTACTTGCTTGAGAACTGGCATGGACAAAAAATGGCTTGGAAGGAAAAGATTTATATTGCGCCAAGAGGTGGAGGATAAGAAATATCTGCCTATTTTAGCATGGATACTATCACGTGGTGTAACGTGCGCGGTTAAGTCGGAAGCGTCCACGTTAGAGTAGGGAGAGTGTGTGTGAGGATTGTTTGGTGGGCCTCAGAGAAATAATTAAAAAATAGCCTTAGGCCCTTTTAGCTTTATTTCTTTTTAAAGTCTTGTAATTTAGATTTCTTTTCCTAAAAGTGATATATTTTTTCAAGTGTCACAAACACAAAAGAGAGGGAATATTTCTAGAAAAATCTGAGAAAAGGAGGCTTTTATATATAAAAATTGTGGTATATTCTTCATTCATGTCATATATAATAGCATCAATACTATGGCATAAAAATATGTTCCACAACATCTTGTGCTTATTATATTCGTTTGGAAAATAGAATTAAAAATGTTCCATAAATCTTTATCGCTTGATACCACTTAATGATTAGCAAATTAAGACAGCTGAGCTGAGTATACTGGCAAATCATGTAATTAACTTTTTTTTTATAAGTACTTGTATTATGTCATTGTTGATAGCTGTTACCAAATAACGACAAAGAGAAAATAGCAAAATAAATTCTTGCCGACTAAACAGCCCACCTAGCTTCGTATGGATACTTTGCTAAGTAATGGCTAATGCAACTGAAAGAGTACTTGTATACAAAGCTGATCAATGATCTGTAAACTATCCGTATACTTTCCTTAGTAATCAACTAATCATGCATACTTATTAGTATGTTAGTCAGTCAGCACCAAATGAACGAACGAACGAAGCCGACATATTTGCTCTCTAACGTAATATAGTTTTATTCTCTCTTTTGTCACTATCTATATTCCAAATATGCATCTCTATGTAAGCTTCAAAGGTCGCCAACTTTTGACGTGCAAACATCAGCAGATAGAGAGCAGAGACCTTCTGTAAACAGATGTAAAACTTTTGGTTTACATTTGTCACTTATTTCAACTAACAAAAAAACTTTTGCTAGTAGACAAACTTACATATCCTTATGCATCGTTGTTCCATTGTACTCTTATCAAACTATTGCTACCTGAATGCCATTACATTTCGTAAGAAATAGTTAGAATCTAACTAATTTCCGAATTAGATATAGGTAACAAAAAGCTAGGAACAGACGTGTGGCTTGAAGAATAGTAATGGTTTATAGCAAAACTATGAATGTCTTTTGGAAGCATTAGAGTTTGGCAGTCAACATCTTATGGACAACAGCTTGTTTCCTACTTTTATATTTTATTTTTCTCTCAATTTTATAACATTTTAAAAATGATTTTTCTTTCTTTTGTTTGTCGTATTATTAGGGTTTCAATTTCACCACCTCACCTGTCCCTTTCTTCTTTATTATTCTTTGTCACTTCCTCTAACCTTTTATCTCTTTTCCATCGTTCTTCCCTCTCAATTTTGTTTTATTCATTTATCACTACATTTTTATTTAATAATTAGCTTTTGTTTTTATAGATGAAGTACCTAACAAAGTAGATGGATCATGGATGCACCACTTATTAATTACGACGACTATCTATGTTTCATTATCATCATTCATGCATGGGCCTTGTGTGTTGTATTCTCTCTGACGTCCTAGTGCGCATAGAGTTGTTTATGAGGTTCTCCGTTCTTAATAAGTAACATGTTTTGTAAAAACTGTAAACCTAGACTAATCCACAAGACCAACTATTTAGTTCTAAAAAAGTCACATCTTAAAATAATTTTCTTTTAAAAAAATAATCTTGAACTAATTTTCATATGAACACGAGCCCTAGAGAATTAATTAGATAAAATTTGGTCCAATTATATATATCCTTTGCATCTGAAAAAGAGTGGTATCTACCTTTTTTTTACATCATGAAAAAATACACATTAAGCTTATTCATAACTGTGTTTCAAAAAAAAAAAAAAGCTTATTCATAACGTTTGGCCCATCGAGAAAAAAATACTTATTGGGCCTAATGGTTCTTTAAGAAAGTATATGGGCTTATTCATCTCGTACTTAGCCTTTTAAGCGCTTTAGGGAGGAGGATTCGGAGTTTGGACCATTTGGTCAAATTGTCAAAAACAAGCTTGATGCAAGCTCAATCCTACGGCTTAGAATAGTTTAATCTAACGGCTCTAAACAAATGATTCCTAAAATATGTAAGCTCACTTTTTTCTGCGTCTCCCTCCAGTTTGGGTAAATCAGCATCACTCTGTTTTCAAATTTTGAGTCTAACGGAAGAAAAAGAGATAGAAAAAAGATACATTTGCAGGTTTTCTTCCCCAATCTTAGAGACAAGCTCGAAAAAAATCCCATCTTGCAGCTGTAAGAAGTAAGTAAAATCGTAATGGATCTTTCTCGAGGAGTCACACCGGAGCAGGATCCGGCGCCGGCGCCGGCGACGGAGGGAGATGAAGCTCAGAGTAGCGAAAGGTTTAACCTTTTTTAATGGGTTTCCTTAACTTTCTCTAAAGTCTCTATCATTTACTAATTACTGCTCTGCTTTGTTGTTCTCTGTATAGAATGTAGAATGTAATTCATTAGAAGGGACATAGAGTCCAATATATACAGAGAGTACAATGGTGAACTAGGTTAATGGTATTGACATTAGAACCCTTTCCTTATATACATGTCTTTCCTTAATATGCTCCCTCAAGATGGAGGTACTCTTGTAACTCCAATCTTGAATGTTGCGCTCAGAAATTGTTGACGGGAGAGTGGCTTGGTGAGAGCGTCCGCTAGCTGGTCTTTAGTGGAGACATGAGAAACTCGAACCATGCCTAGCTGAATCAAGTGTCTAATGAAATGATAATCAATAGCAATATGCTTCATCTTAGAGTGGAACACTGGATTAGCACACAGATAGGTTGCGCCAACATTGTCGCAATAGATGACTGGAGTGTTTGGAACACGTATACCAAGTTCTTGAAGTAGAGAACACAGCCATCGTACCTCAGATGCTGTATTTGCAACAGCTCTGTACTCTGCTTCGGTGGACGATCGAGCAACTCCATTTTGCTTTCGGGAGGACCATGACACTGGGTTGGAACCAAGATAGATAACATATGCATTGGTAGAAACATAATCATCACTATCACCTGCCCAATCCGCATCCGTAAATGCGTGAAGTGTAAGAGGAGAGCCAACCTTCATGTGGATACCATGACTGACAGTCCCTGCTAGATATCGAAGTACTCTTTTGACTGCTTGCCAATGTATCTCAGTGGGTCTATGCATGAACTGAGATAGACGATTGACGGAGAAGGAAATGTCAGGCCGCGTGAAGGATAAGTATTGGAGGCTTCCCACAACTGAACGAAACTGCGAGGGGTCATGAAGGGCAGTGCCATCAAGAAGTTTAAGCTTTGGTGTTGTCTGCATTGGGGTCGATACTGGCTTGGCGTCTATCATGTTTGTCCTTGTAAGAAGATCCAAGATATATCGGCGTTGCATGAGATGTAATCCTTTGTCGGTTCTGGTAACTTCAATTCCAAGAAAGTAATGGAGATCAACCGGATCTTTAATAGAGAATCGTTGAGCAAGAGACTTAAGAACCGAGGCGATGATGGTGGGATTGCTACCTGTGACAACAATATCATCGACATAGACGAGTACGTATGTAGAGTTAGAACCAGAGAGACTCGTAAACAATGATGTATCAGATACTGAGTTCCGGAATCCCATGGCTAGTAGGTGTTGTTTAAGAGACATATACCACGCTCTCGGAGCTTGTTTGAGTCCGTAGATAGGTTTCTTAAGGCGACATACATGATGCGGCCTATCTGTGTCAACGAATCCTGGAGGTTGTGTCATGTAGACCTCCTCCTTAAGCTCACCTTGCAGAAACGCATTGTTAACGTCTAGTTGCTTCAGTTGCCATCCCTTCGTAACCGCGATATCAAGCACGAGTCTGATAGTAGTAGATTTGATGACCGGACTGAATGTTTCTCCATAATCGATTCCAAAACGTTGAGTATTACCTCTTGCTACAAGTCTCGATTTAAGACGTTCAACATCTCCATTCGGTTTATATTTGATCGTGTGTATCCAGCGACAACTCACCAGATTCTGAGATGAATCAGCGGGAACTAAATCCCATGTTCCATATTCCATTTGAGCATCATATTCAGCCGACATGCTCTTGCGCCATCTCTCATCTTTGAGTGCCTGCGTCAAGGTGCGTGGTTCCTTTGGTGGAGCTGTTGCTGTGAGGACATACTTGGAGTTGGGTTTAATGATCTTATTTTTGGCTCGAGTTACCATAGGATGCTGGTTTTGCGGTGGTTGGGAATCGGGGACAGAATTTTCGTTTGACGGCGAAGATGGTGAGGAAGTGGTGGTTTGGTTTGGAATTGTTTGGTTTGATATTTCTGGTTCACGGGTGGTTATTTCTGGTTCACTGGTTTGTGTTTGTGGGCTTGAGTAAGAAGAGGGATGGGAATTTGAATTTTGGGAAGGGTTTGTGTTTGTGTGTTGTTGGGCTGGCTGGGCCGTGGGTTGCGGCCCATTTTGATTTGGAGCAGTGGGCTCAGAAATTAAGGGAGAAGAGAATTGAGTTGCAGAGTTAGAAGACGATACCTGAGGGTGAGGAGAGATCGGAGCCGCGGAGGAGAGGGACGGTGAAGCTGGGTGAGAATCCGAGCACGGGGGAGCTTGAGTGGTGGCCGGAGGTGGTTTTCGAACCGGAATCGCAGTAAATGACGGTTGTGTGTCTGGACCAGAGACGGCAACATCATCGTTTCTTAGTGGCGGAGTGTTCGTTGGAGTAGCAAAGGGGAAGACGGATTCTTCGAAGACAACATGTCTAGACGTGTATAAACGGCCGGTGGGTTTATGGAGACATAAGTAGGCGCTTTGACTTGTCGAGTATCCAAGAAAAACGCAAGCTTTGGAGCGATCTTCCATCTTATTTGCTGTGTATGGACGCAACCAAGGGAAACATAGAGACCCGAAAACACGTAGTCTATTGTAATTCGGCGGCCTTTGAAACAGCTTCTGATATGGTGATTGATGATCAAGATTCGGAGTGATAAGCCGGTTTATCAAGTACACCGCCGTAGCAAACGCAAATGGCCAGTACGTCTTTGGGATGGAAGCATGAGACAGCAGAGTAAGTCCAGTCTCAACTACATGTCGATGCTTTCTCTCTGCAACTCCATTATGCTCAGGGGTATGTGGAGGAGAAGTGAGATGAGAAATCCCGTGTTGTCTAAGGTATGATCTGAGAGCTATAAATTCTCCACCATTGTCTGAGAACAACGTCCCAATCTTAGCTTGAAAACGGTTTTCCACCAATTCTTTGTAGGCTACGAAAATTTCCTTGACCTGAGATTTTTGTTTGAGTGGATAGAGCCAAGAGTATCGAGTATAATGGTCAACCAGAATGAGATAATATTTGAATTGATCAGTAGATATAATCGGAGAAGACCACACATCTGTGAAAATAATCTCTAGAGGTCTAGTAGACTTAATACTCGAGGCAGAAAAAGATAACTTGTGGCTTTTATTGATAAGACAGTCTGAGCAAGAATGAGTTTTATTAGAAATTTGAGAAACAGGAAGTGAAAATTGAGAAACGGTTTTGTTTAAGATAGAAGAAGAGGGATGTCCCAAACGGGAATGCCAAGAAAATAACGTAGCCTTAGAAGTTGGAGTAGCAAACATAGCCGTAGGTGTAGTAGTAACACTCGGCCATTCATATAGTTGTCCCTTACTGCTGCCTTGAATTAACCGGGTCCCCGTGCTCAGATCCTTCACCTGAAAGGATGAGGGAAAGAATTCGACAGATACTTGGTTAGTATTGCATAACCGGTGAACAGAAATCAAATTCTTTTGTATGTTAGGAACACACAAAATATCATGTAGAGCTAGAGATTTGTGTGAAGAGGGAATCGAAATTGAACCCGTGTGTGTGATTGACTGATTTGATCCATCTGCAGTTATCACAGTCTCACCTCCTTCATACGGTTGATGCAGGGAAAGATTCTGAAGATCGGAAGTGATGTGATGAGTGGCACCACTGTCAAGCAGCCAGTTACTTGCCGTGTAAGGATGAGCAGCTACCATGTTGGCTCGCGGTTGATAGGGTGTGAAGGGAGACTGCTGGGACGCAGCTTGGAAACTCTGGAGTTGAGGACAACGCTGAGCTCCATGGCCTTGTGTTCTACAGATTTGACACTTACCAAGGTAAGGTCTTGGGCCACGAGGTTGCTGTTGCCAAGTAGCAGTGTTGTGATTGTTGTGTGGCCTCGCCTGTGTATGGTAGTAGTTGTTTCTGTGTCTGTTGGTGTTGTGATGGTTGTGGTGAGGCTTGTGTTGTACCATGTTTGCAGAGACAGGAAGCAGAGTGGAAGGCACCGGAGAAGATGACAAAAGCTTGGCCTCATGATGGAGTAACTTCTCGTGGATCTCTGTGATGGAAGGTGCCGTCTCACGTCCTTCGATCTGATCCACAACTTGCTTGTACTCGTCTGGAAGACCCTCCAGTATAGCATCAACTTGATCTTCATGGTCCATAGGTTTCCCAAGGATAGCGAGTTGATCCAGTTTGGTAGTGATGCCCTGAATGTAGACATCAATGGTCTTGTTCTCCTTCTTCCAGTACTTGAGTTGGTGTCTGAGGTTTTTGATGTGTGCTCGACTGGGCTTAGCATAGGTGGAAGACAGAGTTTCCCAGATCTGAGCAGCAGTAGCAGCACGAGAGACTAGAGGCTGAAGAGGCAGTGAAATCGCCCCAAGGAGAGAGCTGTAGATCAGACGATCTTGTCTGTTCCAGATTACATGATCTGGATTTGGAACGTTGACACCATTGAGAGTGATTTCTGTTGGGGGAACCGTAGTCGATCCATTTAGATGACCAATAAGACCATAGCCATCCACCAAAGCTTGGACTTGGAGGCTCCACATGAGGTAATTTGTGGGTAAGAGTTTTGGCACATTGGCCATGTTAATGTTGAGAACCGTTTGGTTGTTGTGATTGGTGAGAATGGTTTCAGTGACTGTGTGAGGAAATGAGTTATCATTGTTTGAAGAAGCCATAGATAGTTGATGGTGAAAGAGATAGTTTGAAAAAAAAACAGGGTTTTAGGTTAGGAGCGACAGCTCTGATACCATATAGAATGTAGAATGTAATTCATTAGAAGGGACATAGAGTCCAATATATACAGAGAGTACAATGGTGAACTAGGTTAATGGTATTGACATTAGAACCCTTTCCTTATATACATGTCTTTCCTTAATACTCTGTGACTGATATGAAAGTAAGGAAGCTAGAGGTTTAGACTTTTTTCATGGGTTTCGTTCATTTTATCTAGAGGCTTTATCATTTAATGCTCTGCTTTGTTTGTTTGCTATATACATGAGTGTTTGATAGTGTTGTTTTTGTTATGTTCTGTTTTTAGGGTTCTTGGCTCTGCTTTGACGGTAACGGATTGTGACTATTCGGGGTTGCATCAGCTCTTGGATCAGATTCAGGGGATAGCTTCACCTGTTCTTCAGTTTTCACTCAAGAGGAACGACATTGAGGAGCACTTTACTACACTGGAAAGTTTGATCAAGGAACGAACTAAAGAGGTAGAGCTCAAGGAGAGAAGTGTGATGAAACGGAATATGGAGTTGGAGAAGAAGGAAGAGGAGGTTATAGAGAGGGAGAGGAAGCAGTGTCTGTTATCATCTCTTCTCAAGAGGTTGGACTGTGAGACTGCTAATGAAGCAGCTAACGTGCTTGAAGAGAGGGTAAAAGAGGTTGAGAGGATATCAAAGTGTAACGATGACAAGTCACGTGAGTTAGACAAAGATGCTGAAATGGTGAAAGAATCTCTTAAGCAGCTTGAAACTAGGGAGAAGAAGCTTAGCTTAATTGATGAAGCTATCAAAGAGATGATGTCTGCTTTGAAGAAGAAAGAGAAGACCTTTGATGCAGAGCAGATAGTAAAAGCTGAGAGGATGGAGTTGAAGTGCAAAGAGAAGATGGCTACTTTGGAGAAGAAAGAGATGATGTTTGAAGTGAAACAGAAAGCTAAGGCTGAGGAGATGGATGTTAGGGAAAAGAAGCTTGAGGAAAGAGAGAAAGAGCTTAGCTTACGTGATGAAGCTATCAAAGAGAAAGTGATTGAACTGAAGAAGAAGGAGATGATCTTTGAAGCTGAGGAGAGAGAGTTGAAGAGTAAAGAGAAGATGGCTGCTTTGGAGAAGAAAGAGAAGATCTTTGGAGCAGAACAGAAAGCTAAAGCTGAGGAGATGAATGTTAAGGAAAAGAAGCTTGACGAAAGAGAGAAAGAGCTTGACTTGAAGCAGAAAAAGTTAGAACAAGTCATGGACAAGCTTAAAGAGAGGGAGTTACAAGAGCAAGCTGGTTCTCTTATTCCTCCTGCAAAAAGGCACAAAACACACAACCATGACGATGCAGCTTCAGCTTCTCAACAACAAAGAGACAAAGCGTGTAAAGTAGAAGAGGAACCTGAGAAGATAAAGATTCCTGACTCAGAGTTTCATGACTTCAGAAAGACAATGAGCTCTTTCTTGGTTGATAAGATATGGGCGCTTTATGATCCTAGAGATGACATGCCACGGCTGTACGCTAAAATCAAGAGGATTACCAAGTATAAGTCAACTCTTGACGTTACATGGCTTGATCACAAAGATGAGGAATCAGTTCCCGTTGCTTGTGGGAGGTTCACATACGGGAGAACAGAAACAGTAAACCACTTGACGTTTTCTCATGAAGTAAAACCCATCATACATGGCAGGAACATCTCTGTAAACCCAAAAGAAGGTGAAACGTGGGCTGTGTTCAGAGACTGGAGTCCAAGCTGGGAGAATAACCACAAGCCTCCTTATAGATACGACTTTGTGGAAGTGGTGGAAGTCTTTGAGGATCATCAGGGCGTTGGAGTGACCTACCTAGGGAAGGTGGAAGGCTTTGTATCAGTGTTTAAACACCCTGTGCAGAATGGAGTGTATAAAAAGGTGATCGGACCAAATGAAATGCAGAGATTCTCTCACAGAGTTCCATCTGTTAGATTGAATGGAGAAGAGAGAGAAGGAGTTCCTGCTGGCTCTTTTGAGCTTGACCCTGCTGCTGTCCCAAGATACATACTACGTGGGAAGAAGAAGGAGGTTCAAGCTGGCTCTGCAGAAGACAACCCTCTTATTATCTTAGATTGAAGTTAGTGTTTTTTAGTGAAGTCTTTGTAATAAGTAGAAGTAGTTTTGATCCTCTCAGAAACCGGTTTCCTGTTTGCAGGAAATGGAACTTATATTTTATCTATTGTTGTGTAAACTCTGCGTTAAATTACTACTTCATAGGCTATAACTTTATGAACAATACATGTATCTGTCTGACTATAAACACAAAAAGTAGTGGTCTGATTATGATATATAATCCATCTTCACACTCTGCAGCTCTTGTAAACGTTTTCTCCATAGATTTTTGCAGAGATCATCTACTTTTTGTCCACAAAAACAACCTCTAAGACCCCTTGAAGTCATGTTCCAATACTCAGAAAACTAAGAGCAATGGCGTGTGTTTAGTTAAAGCAGAGCTATTACATAGTTTTTCAGTGAATATCTATTGCACCTGACGAGAACAAACAAAAGTAACTGGGCTTATTAAGTTAATGGGCTTACATATCCTTAAACGAAACCATTTGAGTTTGTTGTTGATGCGTAATCTTCTCTTACTTGCCTTAGAGTTGCAGCGATGATGATCATCAAACACAAAACTTGTCACACACAAATCGAATCGCTAAAGCTTTCAACAAACAAACACACACATTTTGAATGTTCTCCGTTTCCTTTGGATTCACTCTTTCCTCTCTAAAACACTAATCAACAAAGAAAGATAAAACCTTTTTCATTAATAAGTTGCTAACTTGTAGTAACATCTCACCTAATCTCAAAAAGATCTAAACTTTTAATCTCCAAAGATCCAAACTTTCTCCAATGCTCTGATCTCCCCAAACAAAACAAAACAAAAAACAGAGAGAATGGTGGAACCACTTCCAATAACTCGGAGACGATTCCTCTCTTCCCACAAATCTCTCGTCACCGTCTTCTGGATCGCAGCTTTCGCCTCCTTATTCATCTGGCAATCCCGCGGCAAAGGAGCTCTCTACCGCGGCCCTAGTGGCCTCTCCTCTGTTTTCTGGTGGACGACGATACAAACAACAACAACCGCTAACAGCGAGTTCCCTAGGCTTAGACCCGTTGCTTTCAATCTAACGGACTTTGGAGCGGTGGGAGACGGTGTAACCGTCAACACGGAGGCGTTTGAGAGAGCTGTGTATGCAATCTCGAAGCTTGCGAAGAAAGGAGGTGGGCAGCTTAATGTGGGTCCCGGTAAGTGGCTTACTGCTCCGTTTAATCTCACTAGCGTCATGACTCTGTTTCTAGCTGAGGATGCTGAGATCCTTGCCGTTCAGGTAAAGTTTTTATCTTTATAAGTTGGTTCTGTAGATTTGGATTTAAAGTTGCATACTTTGAGGTGACCTCTGTTTTTTTTTTTTTTTATGGTGATGTTGTTAGGATGAAAGTTTGTGGCCTCTGCTTCCTCCTTTACCTTCGTATGGTTATGGAAGGGAACATTATGGACCTCGTTATGGAAGTTTTATTCATGGACAGAATCTCAAAGATGTTGTTGTCACAGGTTAGTTATTTGATCTGTTAACTGAGTGTTAAGTGTGGCTCTTCCTATGGTTTGCATTAACTTTTTTCTTGATTTGGTTATTGTTAAGGAATAAGCTTTTTAGGCAGCAATTGAATTTTCTTAGGGTGTTTGTTATGTTATGGTAGTCTAGAAGTAAAACCACTGCTCTGGTGTTTAAGCTCAAACATATAGTTTGGTGTTTGTCTAATAATAACGTATTAGCCTCAATACTACTTTTAAGCTCTAGTTTGATTGAGATGAGGCTTGAGGGCGATTCCAAGCGAGAGTGAACTCTACCAATGATATCTCTGAAGCTGGTAGAAACTTGTTATGTTCCTCTTTGCTTTACAAGCAGCTTTTAAGTGTTGGCTAAGGGAAATGAATCGTATAGGTTCCTCTGTTAGATAAACAAAAGTAAAACCTTGGTTTCTTTAATTGTATGCCATCATATTTTTTAATCTCTGCCAAGCCTTGGCGCTTATAGTGTAATCTGTGATGGACAACAGGAAATAACGGAAGCATCAACGGGCAGGGGGTTTATTGGTGGAAGAAGTATCGCGCAAAGCTTCTAAACCACACAAGAGGACCACTGGTGCAGATTATGTGGTCAAGTGACGTTGTTTTCGCTAATATCACTTTGCGTGATTCTCCATTTTGGACACTTCACCCATATGACTGCAAAAATGTCACAATCACTAATATGACCATTCTAGCACCTGTGTTCGAAGCCCCAAACACTGATGGTATTGATCCTGGTAAGTATATCTTCCACTTCATAGTTCTTACTCCACGATGCAACTCAGTTATGTAACAAAGGAAGTGAATCTCTACTTATCTTGCAACACCTATAGATGAAACTTCAAGATGTGATTAGCAGTGAATATCAATGAAACAGGAAAGTGAATCCTGTGTTCCCATTTTGCAATTAGGATTCCAGCAACTAAGTTATGTAGAATTCAGGAATCTTATATGCTGAAGAGCGACACAGCTCCTTTCCCTGTATCCTGGTGTTGCTGATAACCATAGAGAACTTAGCATATGATTTTACTGATACAAATAAGATCAGGATTTGGACTTGGTTGACTTTGATGGTAGCTAATATCTCTTCTTGTTGTGCATCAGATTCGTGTGAGGACATGTTAATTGAGAATTCTTACATCAGCGTTGGAGATGATGGAATTGCAATAAAGAGCGGTTGGGACCAGTATGGAACTAACTATGGACGTCCTTCAAAGAACATACTCATCCGCAACCTCATTATCCGCTCCATGGTTAGGTAAAGAAAGATTAGCTTTTACCTCATTGATATTGATCTAATAATTAATCATCTTGTACCTAAAAGCCTTTGTTCAAAACAGTGCTGGTATCTCAATAGGAAGCGAGATGTCTGGTGGCGTCTCGAATATCACAGTCGAAAACATTCTGATATGGAGCTCAAGGCGTGGAGTTAGGATAAAAACCGCACCAGGAAGAGGTGGTTACGTCCGTGATATAACATTCCGGAATGTCACATTGGATGAACTGAGAGTTGGCATTGTGATTAAAACTGACTACAACGAGCATCCAGACGGTGGATTCAACCCTCAAGCCTTCCCTGTGCTAGAGAACATTAACTACACAGGGATATACGGTCAAGGAGTGCGTGTACCGGTGCGTATGCAAGGAACCAAAGAGATTCCGGTTAAAAATGTAACGTTCAGGGACATGTCAGTGGGGATAACGTACAAGAAAAAACACATATTCCAGTGTGCGTTTGTGCAAGGGCGTGTGATAGGAACCATCTTCCCTGCTCCTTGTGAGAATCTTGATCGGTATGATGAACAAGAACAGTTGGTGAAGCAGTCTGATTCACAGAATGCAACGGATATAGATTATGAGATATGAGCCTGAGGAACAACAAACATGGGTTTGGTTGGTGGCCTTAGGTTTGAGTTTGGTCTTTTATTTTGCGAGGTTAGTTTATTATTAAATGATGGCTTCGTGTTACAGAAAATGGAAATGTGATCTTTTGGACAAGTCTTTTGGCTACTGAATGTTAATATCTTACCAGGTGGAATTTTGTTTTTGTTTTTTTGGTGCAATGTTATGATTGAGATTTTATGTTAAGGATTCATACACGTCTTTGAACTAGCTTCTTTGCACACACTCGTCTCCTACTAACCGCGAACAGAAGTTAACATTATGCGACACAGAGTAGAGTTCATTAGAGGAAAACACTGTTAGAAAAAAGAGTAAACACCGTTCAAGAACAGCAAACTCAAAAATTCACAAGAAAAGATAAAGCAACACAGAACCAAATAGGATTAAAAAAAATAGAAGAAAACATAATGTACAACCAGACTCTAAGAAAACACATGAAGACGAAAGAAAATTGAGAACAGAGGAGGTAATATGTTGAGATATCATTTGTCTATTATATGAACAATACATGTTATCCTCTCTAGCCACAAAACACAAAAGGTAAAAGTAAGTAATGATCTGATAAAAAAGAGCCTTCTCTGTAGTATCCACAGCATCTCTAGACGTTCTCTCCTTTTGTTCACAAAAAAAACAATCTCAAAAGGCTCCTTTAAAGTCACTGATCCAGACCTCAGAAAATGGATGAGCAATGGCTAATGAACATTATGGTTTTATCCGTCTAAACCCGAACCAGATCTCGTAGTGATTAAACAGCAAGCTATCATGTGTTTGTTTACCAAGATACTCAAGTCCCAAACTCGCTAGCTTCTTTGCACACTCATCTCCACCTAACCTCGAACAAAACTTAACGTTATGCGACACAAAGATCCTCCCATCATAAGGCTTTAACTTCTCCACTAGCCTCTCAAGACCAGTCCACACAAGCTTATCAGGCATGTGGAGGAACACTGCACTTGCGTATATCAGATCATAAGTTGTATCCGAGCCAAACTTGCTGAACTCCATATCGTCTCCTCTTACTATAAGAGGCCGTTTGTGTAGAAGACCTTGAGATGGGAGCTCGTACCTCAAAGCAGCCATCAAAGAAAGCTCATCCTTTTCAAGGCAGTGGAAATGTGTGGGAGTGAGATAGCGTATGAAATGCAAACCCACACGTAACGTGCCACATCCTATTTCGAGGACACGAGAGTTTGGTTTGAGTTTGGATGATTCAGCCAAGAACTCGAATACATCACGGCCACCTGCCCAAGGCTCACCGTAGTTGCTGTGATGCTGCTCAACTAGTAACTCACCAGGACATGGAAGAGCTGTGTGGTTGTTTGCTTCTTCTCCTTCGTAATGAGAAATACCCTTGTACCTGAATGAACCAAAACAGAGAACGGTAGAGTCTTTCAAAATTCTAAAAACAGAGAAACAGTATGAAAGATAATAACTTCACCACTAGAAACAGAACAGAGGATAATAAGATCTCATCAAAAGCCCTACACTCTGGTGAAACCCAATCTACACAAGAATGACCAATCTCATCAGATGAGTAATGAATGACCAAAACAGAGAAAGCTCAAGTCTTTCAGATTCTAAAATCAGAGCAATAGTAAGAAAGATCATAGCTTCAGCACTAGAAAACAGAGCAGAACATGATAAGATCTCATAAAAATCCCTACATTCTTGTGAAACCAATCTCATCAGATGAGTAATGAATGACCAAAACAGAGAAGGCTCAAGTCTTTCAGATTCTAAAAACAGAGGAATAGTAAGAAAGACCATAACTTCAGCACTAGAAACCAAAAGTAGAACATGATAAGATCTCATAAAAAGCCCCACACTCTGGTGAAACCAATCCATCAGATGAGTAATAAATGACCAAAACAGAGAAAGCTGAAGTCTTTCAGATTCTAAAAAACAGAGCAATGGAATGAAAGATGATAACTTCTACCACTAGAAAACAGAGCAGAACATGATAAGATCTAATCAAAAGCCCTACACTCTGGTGAAACCAATCTAATGACCAAACTCATCAGATGAGTAATTAATGAACAAAACAGAGAAAGCTCAAGTCTTTCAAAATTCTAAAAACAGAGCAACAGTATGAAAAGATCATAACTTCTACCACTAGAAACAAAGCAGAACAGGATAAGATCTCATCAAAAGCCCTACACTTTGGTGAAACCAATCAATCTAATATATTAATTAACACTAAATCATGGATTCAAAATAAAAGAAAAACACTTTCACTACATACAAAGATAGGACCCTTACTGAATCAGATCTGCGAGCTGTTGATCTCTAGTACGAGGATTGATCCCTTTCCTAAGCTCATTCTTCTGCATATGCAAACCGTTGGATCTAATCAGATCCCTAACCCACTCTATATCCTCCCGCGTCGGAGATATCCTCTCCTCTACCCTCACGTCACTAACACCTCCCCTGAATGAAGCTACACCGACGTTGTTTGGAGAAGAAACAGATGAAGGACAAGAGCAGGAGGAGAGAGAAGAGGAGAGGAGGAAGACGACAGCAGCAGCGAAGGACACGGAGAGGACAAGAACCGGAACGCTAACGAATATTCCTTTCTGCATCGTCGGTGAAGAAGAGGAGAGAAACGCCATTGATGAAGAGAGAGAGAGAGAGAGAGACCAGTGGATAATGAGTGACCGGTGATTAGAGATATATTAATCTTTGATTAAAGATCGTAATTACTGAACTTGAAAGCTGTCTTGTCATGACGAAATCCTGAATTTTAACTGTAAAGTGTGTCTTTTTATTTGTAAATAATTAAAGGATTTATTACAATTAAAATACCTGTCTTTTTGAATTTATTTAATCCTGTCGTGTTGTGATTACCGGTATATGGTTTTTTAAGTTTAAACCAGAAGGTAGTAACTAATTAAGTCATTAATTAATAAACGATATAGTATAAAAAAAGATTTAATTACTGTTGCAAAACAAACAAAAAAAAGATTTAATCTTATCCTTAAATCAATGGGCTGTTTTTTTACCAAGTCGAAGCCTTGAAAGAGTTTGTGTTCCATTTTTTTTTTCAATTTAAAAAAAAAAAAAACCTTTTTTTCTTTCTTCTTCTTCATCCGATTCTCCCATCACGGCCTTGAGAAAAAAGCTGCTCTCTTGACTCTTATAAGGTTTTCCCATGTTTCCAAATTCGTGCAAACCCTATTCGAGTTTCTGTTAGATCAATCTGATTCCTAAATCTCGCGCGAAAGATCGATTCTAGGGTTTTTTTCTTCTCTGTGTGTGTGTGTGTTGGTTTGAAATCATCATCGATTACATCGAAAGTTCAGATAAAAGGTATGTAGATTGATTCGTTTACGGCTTTAACCGTATAAAGGTTTGAACTTTTTAGTATGGATCAGAAGTAAAGTGATGATTTTTGTATTTGGGTTTTGCCCTTTTTGGATTTTTGATCATACAATTTTAGCTTATTATCCTAATGGAACGAATCAATTGGGGGAATTTACGAAGTTTTATCATACTCTTTCTAGAGATGGGTCACTGTTGTTTTCTACTCAGAGTTTTTGGTTTCCGCTTCAGACTTAATCACTGTACAAGCTTTTGTCTTAGCAATATTCGCGTCTTGTTTCGTGTTCTGGATGTTATAACATAGCTGATGATGATTAACTAGTCTTGTTGTGAAAGAGGATGTTTGTTTTGTTACTTACGTGCTGTTTTTTTTCTGTTCTTTTCTGGTTCTGTTTTCAGGATAAAGTTGAAATGCACCGGGTTGCAAGTTCCGGGAGTAATGGCGGTTCTGTCCGCGCTCGCAAAGAGAAGAAGCTTACCTATGTCTTAAACGATGCCAACGACGCAAAGGTCTTGAGTTCTTTTCACACTAATATGATTTGCTGCTATTCGTGGTTTGAAGTTATAGTTTATCTCCTTCTCAACTCAAGCTTAGGTTCTCTTGTGTAATTTTGCAGCACTGTGCTGGCGTAAATTGCTTGGATGTGTTGGAGTCGTCTGCTTCTAGTGATCAGAGTTTTCTCTTCACTGGAAGTCGTGATGGTACTCTCAAGAGGTGGGCATTCGATGAGGATGCGCCCTTTTGCTCTGCTACGTTCGAGTCTCATGTTGATTGGGTATGGAGTTTTTTCCTGAAAATTCAAAATTTAACTGTATAATTAGGATCTTGTGTTTGCTTAGGTGAACCTTGTGTTTTTGGTAATTTTTAAACTCGCTTTGTGGATTGGTTAGGTGAATGACGCTGCTTTGGTTGGTGATAGCACTCTTGTTTCTTGTTCTTCAGACACTACGGTCAAGGTTTGTGAATTTTTCACAGTTGCTACAAGTATATATCCTTCTTTTTTTTGGATGCTCCACCATACTAAATACGGCTTATTTTTTCTGACACACTCTAGACCTGGGACAGCTTATCAGATGGAGTTTGTACGAGGACTCTCCGTCAGCACTCTGACTATGTTACTTGTTTGGCAGTTGCGGCAAATAATGTAATTCGTTATTCGTCCATGCTTTTTTTATATAGTTGCATCTGAAAATGTTTGCTTTTGTATGATATTTACCACATTATGATACTATCTTGATGTTGAACTGTTAGAGCAATGTTGTTGCATCTGGTGGCCTTGGCGGGGAGGTTTTTATATGGGATATTGAAGCTGCTTTATCACCAGTTACGAAAGCTAATGATTCAACGGAAGATAGTTCCTCAAATGGTGCGAATGGTCTTGGTAACTCACAACCCGTTGCAAGTTTAAGAAATGTTGGTTCCAGCAATAACATCTCTGTGCAGTCATCACCATCCCGCGGGTACGCACCAACAGTTGCAAAAGGCCATAAGGAGTCCGTCTATGCTTTGGCGATGAATGATACAGGGACGACGCTTGTCTCTGGTGGAACAGAGAAGGTATTCATACAGTTTAGGCTGCTGAGGATATACAAGATCACAAACAATATTTTGGGTTTATGTTTATTGCAGGTTTTACGTGTCTGGGACCCTAGAACTGGTTCAAAAAGTATGAAGCTGAGGGGGCATACGGATAATGTCAGAGTGTTGCTTCTGGACTCAACTGGCAGGTATATTTTCTTGTTTGATTCTAAGGCAATGGTTTATATTGGGTCCTTTTGGCGGCTGTTCCCTTCTATGTCTGATATATTTTTCCTTGTGTTTCTCACCTTGAGATTGCAGGTTTTGCTTGTCTGGGTCCTCTGATTCTATGATAAGGTCTCTTTCTTTTCTTAATTACTTCATAGCTTTGAGTCTTGTGGCTGCAGGTGTAGCATCATTTCAGTTATTTTTCTAACTGGTTCTACATTCTTTTTTAGACTTTGGGATCTAGGTCAGCAGCGATGTGTTCATACCTATGCGGTGCATACAGATTCTGTTTGGGCGCTTGCATGCACTCCATCATTTAATCATGTTTATAGCGGTGGAAGAGACCAATCTGTGAGTTGACTGGAAACTTCCCTCTTTCCTTTAGCTCCCTCCATAGTATAACTTCCTTTCTGAATTCCATTGATGTGGTCTCGTTTCCATCAGTTATACTTGACAGACTTGGGAACAAGAGATAGCGTTTTGCTGTGCACTAAGGAACATCCGATTCAGCAATTAGCTTTGCAAGATGATAGCATATGGGTTGCAACAACAGACTCCTCTGTAGAGAAATGGCCCGCCGAAGTACAGAGTCCTCAAAAGGTCTTTCAACGAGGTGGCTCTTTCTTGGCTGGGAATTTGTCTTTTAATAGGGCGAGAGTGTCCTTGGAAGGACTAAATCCAGTAAGAAAAATCATTTATTTCCTCTAAATGATTCTGTTTAACCTTTTTTTGAGTTAGTGTGACTGATTTGTGGCTTCTCTGCAGCCCCCTGCCTACAAGGAGCCGTCAATAACTATTCCTGGAAGCCACCCGATTGTGCAGCATGAGATTTTGAATAATAAAAGGCAGATTTTAACCAAGGTGAAATACACTTCTCTTGAATGCTCTGGTAAATTTACTGTAGGTAGACTTATGGGAAGGTCGATTATATCTGTTGGTGTTTATTTTGCAGGACGCAGGTGACTCAGTGAAACTATGGAATATAACTAAGGGTGTTGTGATAGAGGACTTCGGGAAGGTCTCTTTGGATTTGGGCTTCTGTTTGAGTTTCTAATATTTTATATGTACATACTGCTTTAACTCTGAAATTATCTGTTTCCATGTTTACAGATATCATTTGAAGAGAAGAAAGAAGAACTATTCGAAATGGTAAGTCTCTTGATTTATTTTCAAAGATTATTCTTCTTTTTCTTTAGCTAGACTAGCAGTATTGATCTAGAGTAAATGGGCGGCTGACAAAAAAAAAAAAAGAGCTAGACTAGCAGTATTGTGTGCCTTCATGATATAATGTTCATCTCTGCATTTTCAGGTAAGCATTCCATCATGGTTTACTGTGGACACACGACTTGGATGCTTATCCGTACATCTTGAGACTCCACAATGCTTCTCTGCTGAGATGTATTCAGCAGACCTCAAAGTTTCCGGGCGACCTGAAGATGATAAGGTAGATGCCTGTAAATGGGAGCTTTATCTGACTGTTTATCATAATTGAACAACTTAGACTCTTATATGCTCTTGTTTAGTCAAACCAAACCGATCTTTTGTCATTGGATTGTGTAATTTGTAGATTAATCTAGCCCGTGAAACACTGAAAGGCCTGATGGGTCATTGGCTGGCAAAGAAGAAGCACAAACCAAAACCCCAACCTTCTACCTCTGGAGATATTCTATCCGTAAAAGATACCAAAAAGAATCTGACTGCATCCAAAAGTGAAGACAGCAGTGCTGCGAATGATCCGGTGTATCCTCCATTTGAGTTTCCTTCTGTCTGCCCTCCGTCCATCATTACTGAGGGTTCTCAAGGAGGTCCTTGGAGGAAGAAGATAACTGAGTTTACCGGAACTGAAGATGACAAGGACTTCCCATTGTGGTGCCTGGATGCCGTTTTGAACAATCGCCTTCCACCTAGAGAAAACACAAAGTAAATGACACATCATCTTGGTTTCATAAATAGATAAAGCACATCATCTTTCATAACTTACATTGAAAGGTCTTTAAAATTTTTCAGATTAAGCTTCTTCCTGCATCCATGTGAAGGCTCAAATGTGCAGGTGGTCACTCTAGGGAAACTTAGTGCACCCCGGATCTTAAGAGTTCACAAGGTGCAGTTATCCGTAAAATAAACCTACACTTATGCTTGGACTTTCTGTTATTCAATAGCGTCTTGTTTCCACATGTCTATGTAGGTTACCAATTACGTTGTGGAAAAGATGGTCCTTGACAGTCCGTTGGATAGTTTAGCTATTGATGGAGCAAGTGTTTCAGGAGGAACACAGCCTCTGTTTGCAGGAAATGGACTGTTACCGTCTGGATCAAAGCCTTGGCAGAAACTCAGACCTTCCATTGAGATCTTATGCAACAACCAGGTAAGTCAGCTTCAAGGAAATTTATGTTCCAACACATCAAAGAAACAAAAATTGGTTCACTGGTTTAGTTTATCGTTTGCAGTTTGTGGCTGAACAAAGTTTTTTTTTGTGATTATATCAGGTCTTAGCTCCAGAGATGAGTTTGGCGACTGTGCGGACATACATATGGAAGAAACCTGAGGATCTAATCCTCAACTACAGAGTGGCTATAGCTAGATAACTTTTTGAGGTAAATTACTCAAAGAAGGTGCAAAACTCATGATAATGCATTATGTCGAGATAAAGTTTGTGGAACAGCACTCTCAGGCTCCATCTACGTGATGGTTTTGTTAACTTGAGAGATGATTTCATTTTTAGGTATTTTCATAGAGAATTGACCTTTAAAAAAGCCTTGGTAGATTTTTCATATGTCCTGTTACCGAGCCTTTGTAGATTGCTCTTCTTTTTTTTAACATTTGAAACTGTGATAGGAACATACTTAATGGTTGAGAATGAATATCACCATATCCTTTATTGCCTTACAGATTTTTCACCGGACAAGAATGTTTGTTCATTCCAAAAGCATATAAATCTTGGTTTAGTTTACTCAGCTTCATGCTGGAGAATAAGTCTGCTCGAAGGAGTTGGGACTCGTGGGAAGAGCTATCCATAAAAGGTCGAAGATCTTAAATGAGATGGTGTCAAAAACTTTATTAATCTTCTGTACATTAAGTTTGAGCTTTGGGAAAGAACAAAAATAAGTTACTATCTCTGTTTTTAATTGTACTCTGAAGCAATAAAATAACCAATCCTCTGTATCTGAAGTAAAATCCAATGTTCATAAGCTTCCATAAACTAAAACTGGACCAAAGTGAATTAATCTGAAGTTCAATCAACCAAAAGTAGGCCGAATCTTAAAACAAACACTATGGTCTCTACTCTCTTAAACAAAAGGCTTAATAGTCAGTTACACAAAAACTGAATAGAGTGTTCTGCGCCTTCTTTCATGTCTTCACGTCTTTTAGCTTTCTATTGCGTTTTCATCAGTTTCGGCCATCTCACGTTCTTCCTTAAGCTCGTCTGCAATAAGAACATGAATGTTAGTCTCATAATAACAGTTATTACAATTCTAATTGAGTCCGATACAAGTAAAATTCTAAACACTAACAAGATTGCTCTATTTTGCACTTCAAATAATTTGGTATTGATCGCCTTCAATAGACCACAAGGTAAATGAACTAAATGTTCCCCATATTTACATAATACTTAATACCCATGAACCATGCATTAAAGTACGCTTTCCTGAATGAGATCAAGTATGTAGATGAAGTAGCCACTTACCGAAGAGTTTATGCATTGCCTTTTGAGTCCGCCTTTCGAGCTTGTCAAGCTTCTTCTGGACATCTCTTCGAAGGTCCCAGTTGGGTTTCTTTGGAGCAATGTTGACAAATGGGTCCTAAGTAATATTGATAAATTCTGGTGTAAGCTAAACGTCACAAGTAAAAACAAGTAATGATTCCAATAACTCCATTTAAAAGATTAAAAGAGAAAAGCAATCCACACACCTCTTTCTTCTCCACAGCAGGTGGAAGTGCAGCAACTGGATCTTCGAATTTGGGTAGCTCTGGTGGTACAACTTTACTATCCTGAAGCTCCTTAGCTTGGGGAACATAATTTCTAAACTTCATGGCTGGACCACTAATCAAATCCAAGAGAAAACATAAGCAGTAAGCACATGAAAAAAGCGCAATTTAGCAAAGAACAATCGAGCAAATGAAACGAATCACATAAAGCAAAGTTAAAAAAACGAAACCACTGTTTTGGTAATAGGCATTGTATACCAGAGAGGTCAAAACCAAAGCACTAGGGAAGCTCCTTCTTTTGATTTTAGCCAACACACATCAATCAAATGCTACTCAAATCGTTCCTTCCCTATATATCTTAACAAGTTTGCTTTTCTCTATGAATCATGACTGTAGATAAAGCTCTACAATGCAAGTTGAAAAACGAAACCACTGTTTTGGTAATGGGCATTGTATAACAGAGAGGTCAAAACCAAAGCACTAAAGAAGCTCCTTCTTTTGATTTTAGCCAAAACACACATCAATCATATGCTACTCAAATCGTTCCTTCCCTAATTATCTTGACAAGTTTTCTTTTTTCTATGAACCATGACAGTAGATAGAGCTCTAGATCAAATAAACTAAGCAAAGAACAAAGCATACTCACTCTTCTTCAACAGCAGCATCACCTTCCTCTCCCTCTTCCTTACTCTCAGAAAGTTCCTGAGCCATCCTTAAAGCTTTAAGCGCCTCTTTACGCGCAGCAGACTTCTGCTCTATTGATTCATCTTCACTACCCATTTATATCACTTCCTGCCACAATTAGGTTATCCAATTAAACATCGAATGCAATATATACAGTAACGCATCTTCCTCAAATACACACATCACAAAAACTTATATGAAACCCTAAATCGAGACGAATCAGCTCAAATTCTAGCGAAATCACAGGTAAAGCTATCGATTCTAACTGAAACTGAGAAACCGAATAGCTATCTACCGATAAAATTAGGGTTAATCGGTGAGTGACGAGTTGCAAACGGTACCTGGAAGCTCTGAGCTCTAAATTTTCTTTTCCAGGAAAAAAATCTGTGCAACACAGAGAAGAAAAGCTATCGCAGCAATGAAACTTATAAAAGAGAAGAGTAAAGTGGGCCAAGCTAATTAATTTTATTGGGCCAATATAAATCAATGTCTTGGGCCTGGCTAAGTAATTAATTTTGCAAATTAGGACTAGAATTCTAGCTAAATATTAAATTAAATTAAATTTGGCTTATGAATCTTCTGACTATAAAGAAAATCTGATAAAATCAAATTATATATGCTAACAAAAAGTTTCTATACGTCCACTGAATAAAATATTCTCTTAATAGGGATTCGTATCCTTTTTTAAATTAACTTTGCATTTTTCTTGATTGACTATGCGTAGTTGCATCTGTTTATTTTGGTTATTGTCTGGCACAGTTTTGATATAACTTACAAACAACGACCTCAAAGTTATATATATATATATGTAGGTCTTTTTTATTAAATTTAAATTACATAAGAGGAAGAAGGAAATAGTTTATTCAAAAGGACAGGAGTAATCACTTGTTCCTTAGCCTTTGTTCCTTGTTTAGTTTACAGTTGAGTCTTGATTAAGGAGCTTCTTTGATTGGAGAGATAGTAAGATTATAATTATATTTTGTCTACCAAAAAAACTATAATTATATATCATAATGATTTGATCCAAAAAAAAATATCATAATGATTTTTCTTCTTCCAATTCATATGTTATAAAGTCATGGTATTATTTTAGTGACATAATATTCCAGCATTAGGTGGATGTATACCAAATATTACTTTCTTAATCTTGTTTGACCAACTATCCTAATACTATATGTCAAAATACTAGTTTTTTCCATATACTTGATCATTGTCATTGAAAACAAACAATCCACTTCTGTAGCACCATTACATTAAAAACTGAAATAATCAAAAAATGCTTTTAAGACAGCGATGTTTTATGAGAAAAAATGTGTTTAGAAAAGAAATAAAAACTTCAGAAAATTCAAAAGAAAACAACTTTAATTCTCTACACAAAACTTTATGGTCTAAAAGTTTAAAAGAGAGGACAACTAAAATATCAAATGGAGTCTCAGAGGTTTTAGGTTGGTGGGGGCTTGAAGAAGAGTAGTAACTTTGAGCCTTTTGACTTGTTTGCGTCCAAAAACAATTACACATCATAAAAACAGCCAAACAGATCTTCGTGTGTTTCTATTTATTCGTTTTTTTCTTGTCTGATTCAAACCAAAATAAAAAGAAGCAGTTCAACAAAATCACTTCTCATTCTTATTAATGGTCTTCCATTTCTATATCTCTATGTAATGTAAATTGTCTATGTATCACCTTCCCTTTTTTCTAAAGCCCTAATTGATTTTTCTTTCTTTATTTCTTTGTGCTTTAAAGGTTTGATTTTTAAAAACTTGTGGACTCTCATTTCCCTTGGCTCTCTTTCTCTTGAGTTTTGAGTCAGCTTTGTATTCTCTAAACAAGTTTCAGATCTTTGACTTAGTCTCAAAACATCATCCTGTCTTAAAAACTAGGGTTTGAATCTCTAGCAGCTGTTCTTGTCTGTTACAAAGTTTCAGATTTGACCATCTGGGTCGACAATTTATCTTCTCTCCGATCATAAAGTAAGTAACTTTCTCCAAAACCATTTTGTTTTCTTAGTCAAATCTGATTCTCTAGGTGTGGAGTTGTTGTAATCATCAGTTTCCTTATTTAGTTAAAAGGGTTTGACTTTTCCCAGTTATATCTTTTGTTGCAGTTGAAGAGATCTTCTTTTAGAAACATGTTAAGCAGATGAAGGTTAGTTTGATGAGATGGGTTGTGTATTGAGTAGACCCGGATCATCAGGATTAGTTTCTGAGTCTAGAGACCAAGTTATTACAAGGATCGAGTCTAACCGCAAAGAAGCAAACAATGTGTCTGTGAACAAAACCGAAACTACAGAAGAGAGCACTAGTGTTGTTGTTGCTGTTGTTGCTTCTACTGGTGAAGAGGAAGTTAGAAATGATGAAGCTATTGTGGATCATCACAAGGAAGAGAATGGAGATACCAAAGAGAAGAAACCCAAAGGAGAAAAGAAAAGGTCTAATAAGCCTGATCCGAGACTAAGCAACCCACCAAAGAATTTGTTAGGTGATCAAGTTGCAGCTGGATGGCCACCGTGGTTGACTGAAGTCTGTGGGGAAGCTTTAAACGGATGGCTTCCAAGAAAAGCTGATTCCTTTGAGAAGATTGAGAAGGTAAGATAAAAGTCTACATTTTTGTATGTTTTGTTCTTTGCAGTGACCATGCCTTATTTGAAGTATGTTGCTTTGGGTGTGTAGATTGGATCAGGAACGTATAGTAATGTGTACAAGGCGAGAGATTTGGTGACAGGAGCTATTGTGGCGTTAAAGAAAGTGAGGTGTGACACTAGGGAACAAGAGAACTTAAAATTCATGGCTAGAGAGATTCTGATTCTGAGGAGATTGAATCATCCCAATGTCATCAAGCTAGAAGGTTTGGTTACTTCGAGGATGTCAACTAGTTTATACTTGGTGTTTCGTTATATGCATCATGATCTAGCTGGTCTCGCTGCAAGCCCGGACATAACATTCACCGAACAGCAAGTTAAGTGCTACATGAAGCAGATACTCTCGGGGCTCGAGCACTGTCACAGCAGAGGAGTTCTTCACCGTGATATCAAAGGATCAAACCTTCTTATAGACGATGATGGAGTTCTTAGAATAGGAGATTTTGGTCTTGCAACGTTCTTTGACGCGAGTAAAAGACAAGTAATGACGACACGTGTTGTTACTTTATGGTACAGAGCACCAGAGCTGCTTCACGGTGCTATTGAGTATGGTGTCGGCGTTGATCTATGGAGTGCTGGTTGCATTTTAGCTGAGTTGTTATCTGGTAGACCGATTCTGCCAGGTCGAAACGAGGTTAGTATTTTTGATGTTTTATGTTTTCAGAGTTTGGTTTGTTTAAAATGTGTAAAACGTGACGCAGGTTGATCAGGAGCATAGGATAAATAAGTTATGTGGAACGCCTTCTGAAGAGTATTGGAAAAAGATTAAGAGGAACCCTAATCTTAAGCATGCTAATCAGTTGGGTAAACCACAGTTTAAGAGAAAAGTTAGAGAGGTTTTCAAAGATTTCTCTCCTGAGGCGCTTTCTCTAGTTGATAGGCTTCTAGCTCTTGATCCAGTTGAGCGTCAGACAGCTACTGATGCATTGATGAGTGATGTAAGTGTTTTCACTCTGCCTGCGGGTTCGGGTAGTTCGGTTTTCGGTTAGTTCGGTTCAACATAAATTTTACCAAATTAACCCAAAATAAAGTTCGATTTGGTATTCGGTTAGTTAGGTTTTTGAAAATTCTACCAAACGTTTTGATTTCGGTTTTATTTTGGTTTAAATTTGTTAAAATTTTGATATATTAAGTTAATTTCAGTTAATTTAGTTTGAAATTTGGTTAGTTCGGTTCGAGTTTTGGTAATATATATATTTTTTTAAAAGAAAATCGATTGGCGAACCGAAAACCGAACTTTTTTAGAAGAACCTATCGAATTGAAACAAATTCCTAACCGGACTAACCAAAATTTTTGGTTTGGCGGGCGGTTCGGTTCAAAATCCCAGCCTATGTTTCACAATGAGAAGTTTGAGACTTTGAAACAGAGCACAGTTTGGTTAAGATAGACTTGAATGGCTTATTTGTTTTGGCTGTGCAGTTCTTCATGACTGAGCCGCTAGCATGTGACCCTTCTGAGCTCCCCAAGTATCCTCCAACTAAAGAGATTGATGCCAAGAAACGAGATGAAGAGTATCGGAGGTAAAGTTTCCTTTTATAGCTTATATACTTGTTCATTGCTCAAGTCATTTACCAAACCATGTATTCATATGTATGCAGACAAAAGGAAGCACGTAAGGTTCAAGGAGAGAGCGGAAGAAGAATCAGACCTAGAGAACGAGCACCAAGAGCAATGCCTGCTCCTGAAGCCAATGCTGAGAATCAATCTAACATCAATGTAAGTCTTTCATACAACATTCTTAGTTTACTTCTCAGTTCATGTCTGAACTCTTTTTAAAAAAAAACACAGAGGATGCGTTTGATCACACATGCGAATGCAAAGAGCAAGAGTGAGAAGTTTCCACCACCGCATCAAGATGGTTCACTTGGTTTTCAAGTGGGATCTTCACGGAGACTTGATCCATCAGAGATACCTTTTACTTCAAACTCTTTCACTGCAACTTACTCCAAAGAGCCGTTTCAGACTTGGTCAGGCCCTTTGGCTCCGGAAGAGCCTGACTCAACAGCTAAGAGGATGAAAGATATTAACAAGGCGAGGAGAAAGGCTGCTAAGCTTAAAGGGAAAAGCATCGTTGTTTGATTTGATGAGATTCTATTATTATTATTATTCAGCTTCAAGTTTCTAAAGGTTCCTTTTTGGTATGAGAAAAGAAAAAGATTTTTTTTTTTTTTGGAGGGTTATATGTTTCTTATTTATTTGATTTGTGTATTGTTTGTACAAGAGATTTGACAAGAGAAAAAAAAACATTTAAATGAGGGAGATTACATTCTATAATATTCTATGTAAAGAAAACTCCAAGTCTTTGGGGCCGATTGGTTGGACTGTAACTGTAGAAATTTTACTGTAGAAATTAGTCTGTAGAAATTTTGAATGTAGCTTTATCTAATGTAGGTGTAGAAATTAAATGAGAAAAAATGAAAAAAAGAAAGATATTCCTACAGCAACCCTACAGCATTATTTTTTTGCTTTAGAAAATGAGGCTCCTACAACCTTTTTTTTAAATTTTTGACTTTAGCTTTAAAAACTACTTAAAGTATGATTGGTGATTTATATGGTTGTAGATAGAAAATAAATCTAAAGTCACTAGTTAAATCCCAACCAATCATCCCCTTTGATTGGATGAAGAAATAAATCTTTGGTTTTGGAAACACTGAGGTAATAAATCTTCATATTATGTTTTTTATGTAAAAGTTGGCAACTTGGGGTTAGTCGAAGATTTGACTAATTTCTATGTCTAGAAAGTAAAATGTTTAAAATCTTAAATTAGGAGAAACTCTTCTTTATCAAATTTAGTGATTTATATTTTCAATTGTGCATTATGTTGATTCCTTAAAACAATACGCACTAAATTTCAATTAAATTATTACATTTTAAAACAGGATGCACTAAATTTAAATGAAATTATCACATTATAGTGTTTTAACAACTTCCATAATATCAAGGGGAAATTTGGAGAAATGCATTTAAATAAGAATAAAATTGGAAAACTACACCTTATTTAAATTTTTGGAAAATTACACTTGTGTATATATAAATTTACCTAATTACCCATTCTTAATATTTCTTAATTTCTAATATATATTTAAATTTCGATTTTTAAAAAGTACAAATCGTTAGAGAATATACCAGTTATTCTTTTAACATATCAATCCAATATCTTTGCATATCTTTTTGATAATATCTTAAATTATTTTATTAATTTGAAAAAAAAATAACGTAAGACGAAGACCGTCTTCTCGTCTCCTTCCTCCTCGTCATCTTCTTCGTTTCTGAAAAAAAAAATTCCTTCCATTGATTCTTCCTTTCATCTCATTAAGAGAGGTTTGTTGATTGATGAATCAAACTTCACTTTCTAATTCTAATTCTAATTTATCCTAACAATGGTTCTGTTTTTGTTATTGTAAATTTAAATGTTAAAATAATATGTTTATCTCAACACATATATTTATGGGATAAACATAATTTTTTTTAAAGATATTAGTTTATTAAGTGGGATAATTATTGAATTTCGAATTTATATATTAATTTCAAATTTATATATTAATAACTGAAATATCTAATTAGGGTAACAATGTCAATTCACTATTAGAGAAGTGTATTTTACAAAAATTAAAATAGAAAATGCAATTATCAAAAATCAAACTGTTTTTGGAGTAATTTACAAATTATCCCTAATATCAAACTGATGAAAACTTGAGATATGTTTTACAACAATAAACACACATTTCTAATTTTCTATAAAGTATTTACATATAGTCACAAGTCACTTACCAAGGAAGCTGATACTATATAGTATATAAAGTCTTACGAAAACACTGAAGCTTGTATGATACTTTCACATTTAGAGTACAAAGTAGACTTCTCTTCAATTATCTCTAAACAAAGTGCATGAACTTGCTCGCCATGAACAAGAACAGTCATGCATCTTGAGACACTCAGCAAACTAGCAATTGCCACATACTACTTAAAACCTTCTTCTCCAAAAAAAAACACTGTTGTTCAGATCCATTCCATTGTATTTTCTAACGTCAAGCATCTATGAAGACTCTGAACGACGTTGTTTATCTCACAATCACTTTGGTTTAGCTTCTCTCCAGCCAAGAACCTCTTAGCTATGGCTCCTTCAAGAACTGTGCTATAACCTGCAACCACCGGAACCTTTCTCTCCTTCACCAACCTCCTCATTGACGCTACATCTTCCCACGATTTCTCTGCAGCAAACACGCTAGAGGCTAGCAAATACCCTGAAGAACACATGGGTTCAAGCACAAGAACCTCAGATATTGCCTCTGTGGTAACGATCCCACTTTTCAAACGGTTCCTGCAGCCACTAAGAATCGATCCCCAAGCACCAGCCCCGGGTTTCATGTCATCTGGAAGGTTCTTGATTAGTTCCATGGCTGTCTCAATCTCTCCAGCTCGGCTAAGCATGTCAACAAGGCACGAGTAATGCTTCAACGACGGTTTGTTGTGATCTTCCACCATTGATTTGAAGATCATGAGACCTTGCTTGATCAATCCTCCATGATTACAAGCTGATAAAACTGCCAGATAAGTTACAGCGTTTGGTGTGCAACCTTCTCGTTTCATTTCCTCGAATGATGCTAATGCTTTCTCCGGTAAACCGTTTATAGCATATGCTGATATGATCACTGTCCAAGACACAACATTTTTCCTAGGAACTGAATCAAATGTTCTCCTCGCCATTTCTATGGCACCACATTTTGCATATGCGTCAGCAATGGATGTATCAACTGAGATATCAGTTGTGGCTAAGCCTCTCCGGATCGCAATTCCATGTGCCCATCTGGATTTTCTCAAGTCTGCTGAAACAGAGCATGCGTCAAGAAGATTTATGATAGTGATGGCGTTGGGCTTATCCTTCATCTGACAGAAGATTGAAATAGCTTCATCAGGTCTTCCAGAACGGGCTAATCCAGAGATCATTGTGCTACATGACACCACATCCTTGAACGACATCGACTCAAACAAGGTTGTTGCATTATCAACAAGACTGCAACTAGTATATGCATCAATCAAAGAGGTAAAAACAACTTTGTTAGACTCGTATGCCCGCCTAATTATAACGCAGTGTACTGACTTGCAAGGCAATGGTTGCTGAAAGAACTTGCAAACCTGAAGAAGACTCACGAGAGTAACTTCATCCGCTCCAACTGCCTCTTTTCTCATCAAACCAAACATCTCAAGAGCCTCTTCATTCCTTTGGTTGTGTACAAACCCGGCCAAAATCGAATTCCACGTAACCATGTTTCGACAAGTCATCTCATCAAACACTCTAAACGCTGAATCAACGTCAAAGCCTTTGGAATACATATCAATGAGTGAATTGAGCACAAACACATCTCCCAAATCAAAACCTTTACGTATAGAAAAACCATGAACTGATCTCCCCACATCAGCATCCTCGAGAAGAGCACAGCCGTGGAGAACACTTGTCACAGTTACACTATCAGGACCCGTTTTCCCTTCACGAACCATCTCTCGGAACAAATTCAACGCAAAAACAGGCTCTCGGGTTTGCACATAACACCGGATCACTACACTCCACGAAACAACATCTCTCTCAGACATTTCGTCGAACACTTTGCGCGCGGTAAACAAATCAAATCCCGCATACAAGGACAAGACGGAATTTTGAACAGAGGAGATCCCGAAGAACCCACTACGGATGACGTAGCCATGAATCTTCTCTCCATCAACATACGATCCGAAACCACGACGTAACGCTTGAATCACAAGAACCAAAGTGGAGACGTTAGGGTCAAAGCCCCAAGCTCTGGACTCGGAGAACCAACGTAGCCCTCGTTCCGCGAAGCCACGATCGAGAAACCCGAAAACGACGACGTTCCGAGAAACAGAGTCGTCTCGGCTCGAGGTGAAGAGCGCTCGCGTGGCGGAGCAAAAGTCTCCGCATTTCATGTACAAGTCGACGATGGAGTTTCCGACGGAGACGAAAGACTCGAAGCCTCTCTTGAGGAGGCTCGCGTGGAGGCATCTGCCTTGCGACAGCCGTGAGAGCTTAGCGCAGGATTTGAGAACGATGGGGAAGAGGAAAGGGTCGTTGAGTTGAGTCCCGGATGTCTGTATGTCTGAGTAAGCAGAGAGTACGTCCCGCCATTTTGCGTTGGAGGAGGCTTGCTTGATCCTGGAGGACAAAGCTTGTAGCTTCCGACACATGTGTGGTCCCATCTTTCAATCCAATGGATGGCCGGCCACTTATTATAATAAGAATTAGAGTTCAAGCAATTACAAATACATAACCCTCCTTGTTTCTCTTTGGGTTACATGTGAATAATATTTTCTTTGATTACATGAGCTTTTATGTGAGCAACTTTTTGGATTTAGTTTGATTTGAGTAATCCGTGGTCTATCTTCTCTTTTTGTTATGCCGTGTGTTTGGTCTGTGTCATTGTGTTAGTAGTTGTTTCTCGTGTCTTGTGGTCAAATTTTAGGGGTCGAAGAGATGCTCACTTCAGAAGTTAGTGTGGCAGTAGATTCAAGACTATGCGAGCTGGTGGCATTGAGATGATTCAGAAGTTACGCCTTTGGTGTGGATACTGCTAGCACAAGTACATCAAGACTATCATACGGATGCTACTAGTTTGGTTTGAAACTGGAATCCTAATTGTCTTAGTGTCACTTAGTCCCGGTCAGTCTTGATTTTGGGTCAATTGTAGTGGTCTAAGGGGTGGTTTGTTTTGAGTCTTGGAGCTCTCTCACCCCATTGTGGTTTAAAATACATCAATGTACTCTAGGTTGCTTTGGATCCGAGTGAGAAATCACCTTAGTGATTGTTCCAGGGTGTTACTAAGATGCATTGTTTGTATAGGTGGTTGAATTTCATTGTATCACTATTTGGTTAATGAGAAGTTGATGTTGAGTTAAAAAAAAAAAACATGTTACAGATAAAATCGGGAGATGTCAGGGTTTTGGCAAATACATCCTTGCTTCTTGTGAAGAAAGATTGGTCTTCAGAAATACACGTTTGCATGGTTTTAAGATGCTACAGGTTTGTGCAAATATATTTGCTGCCATTGTTCCTGTGTTTTCCCTGTTTACTGAATTGATTCTGCTGTTATTCAAAACCGGTGTAGAGAACATGCTTAAAGCCAAAACGATGGATTATATAGAACAACATGTTGATTAAAGCTGTAAATCCTGTTCTCTTAGTTTCAAATAGTTAGGGAGAACTGATTAAAAATCATAATTTTTTAGTGAGATGAACTGGAGAGATTTGTAGCACGTGATCTCTATGCCAATGCTGCAATATCTCAGTGCAGTATGCAGTGATATATATATATGCTTGTCATATGTTTAGCTACTTAGGAATATCAAATAACTGTTATGATGAAGATATATCTTTTTGCAAGACTTGGTTAGAATTAAGTCCTGAGGAATGCAGGGATCTTGTTAAGGTTTCTATTGAGCTAATGTCAGAGCCGACTCAGAGGTTGCTAATGCATGTGAGAGTTGGCCTTTTAAGAGCCAGTCAGCTTCCCTTGTAGCTGAGGTAGGAGTTAAAATTGGTTTGATTTTCCACTTGCTGTTATCATTGATTTCTGATTCCGCTCATTATCTTTATCTTGTTGCAGATAGTTAGAAGATATGGCCCTAGTCTTTGGAAAGAGATATTTACTTTACTAGCTTCCTTGTCTGCACAGGGTCCCTTACAAGTAGAATGTTCATTCATTTATTTACTTTGATAATTCCTACTATTATTTAGACAGGCTATAAAACTGTTCCTTTTTTTTGCCTTTTTCTGTATAATGTATGCCACATATTTCTCCTCTCAACAAAGTTGTTAGCTGCAGTGCTAGTTTTCTGAATAAAGTAAAATGCAGCTTCTTGAGTGACACTTTATAGCTGCAATGGACGAGGCTGGTAGGCAGCACATTGAATTGGCAAAACAGCATGCGAATGTAATTATAGCTTGTCTGAATGCCATCATCGCATATGCTGAGTGGGCTCCTGTTCCAAAACTTGCCAGATATGGAATTCTTAATGGGTACGGTTTGACCTCTGCAGAGATTGTTATATTGGTTACTAGGCTTGCATTGTTTCTTACTGATGACGTGCTCTCAAACTCTTAATAGGTGCAGTTTCTTATTCATCTCCTGACTTCCGTCTGCATGCTTGTGAGATTTTTAAACTCGTCTGCTTATAAGGTAAGCAACTGGATGTTTGATCTAATGTAATGAGAGCACACATAGACACATCTTTGTAAATTTTTTTAGTCTTTCTTGTCTGCAGAAAAAGACCCAATGACTCTTCTACTGCAATTAGCAGTTTGTTTCAGACCCTGACAAATGTCTCTAGAGAATTTTTAACTAGATTCTCCTCAAGTTCTAGCGTTATTGATGAAAATGATTATGACTTTGCTGAATGTTTGCGTGAGAGTATGGCCTCTTTATGCTCAACGAGCTTGCACTGTATCTCTTCCGATGGTGGTGTTATGGCCGATTATCTTCAGCAGGTACAATCTCATTGTTTTTTTTTTTTTATTACCTAATGATGTTTTCTGCGAAGAGGATTAAGCTAGTAACTTAAAAAGTTGTAGATTTTAATCTTGTTATTGAGTGAGCTAAGTCCAAGTGTCTGCTAAATAATGTATGGTTGCTGATATATTTTGATTGCATCTAGGCCAATTATTAGTTCAAAATCGTTCTATTCATGGTAGGTAGCATCAATAATTTGGTTTGTCAGATATCTCTTCTTCCAGAAATAATGTTGTGAATGCTTAAAAAAGAAAAAGAAAAAGTTTCTTCTGGAATTGCTCTTTCCCTTGGTCCTCTGAACTATCGAGTGATGAATATGAAGGAAAGAGATACTTTTCCCAGTACCGAACCACGCTTGTATGTTCCTTAATCAAATGCATTGAGGCTTATTTTCCAGACAAATATTAACGCAACACTTCTCTTTTTCCTGCAGTTAGAATTGATCAAGCATACTGCTTCTCATCTCCAGTACTAAATTGTCGGAAAGGGTTATTACACTCATTAAGAATTTATTTGCTTCTCCAGCACCTCTTCAGGTTTTGTCACTAACATTTATTTCTTCTGTTGAGTTCCTTTTGACAATTGTCTGCTACTTGGAGGCTTCGTTGAGAGCTCATGAATACAAACATATCCAGGATGTAGCAGTGATGGAAAGCCAGCAATTAGCACTTGACTGTATTGTGGCAACGATTATTGATGGGATCAAATGAGTTAGCTGGCGGGAGTTCTGAAGTTCATTATGCATTATGTGGAATATTTGAGGGTATATATGTCCAGTTATTTTGTTACATTATGTCTATGCTTGTCCAAAACTCATTTCTGTGGTGTTGATGGCCCAGATTTGCTTCACCAGCTTCTAACTTTGAAGTGGAATGCATACAGGCGCTCATGCATACATTTACGACATTTACAACATTTTGAGATTGCACAAGTCAAGGTGTGGATGAGTTACTTAATAACTTGTTTCTTTGGCAGGATCCAGCTACTAGTACATCTCGAGATGTTAGATTTGTAGATCTTTCATAAGAATTACCTAAGATGCAGAAAAATGTGTGCTCCCTCACATGAAGGTAGCTTTCTTGTGACACTAATTTTCTTTAGGAAACTCATATAAGTAAACGCTGAAATATTCTTTTCAGAATTTGTGATGTGATAAGCTCCTGCTGTGTGATGTATCATATTGGAGACCAGACGAAGACAAAAGTCTCTGATTGGTTCTCGAATTTTAGTTAGAGGTGTCTAGTTAATGTATCTTGTTAAAACTACCTGCTGTTTGTTGTCTGAATCATCATTTCATTGGATTGTTTCTTTATTGTTGGGTTGGAATGTTTTTGGTTAGCTAGAACCTAATGGTATGCTCTTGTGAAGATGATTTTTGGCATTATATGTCTCTTCTCTCTGGAAAATACCTTTATCTTTTGTCTTGGTGACAGAATCTCATTTTGCAATTGGTAATTTTAGGCACCAAATAAAAAATGTCAACCTTCATCTTTACATTCTTAATTTTGTACAGAGTATTGCTGATACAATGGGTTATATATGGCAAAAGAAGGAATATTACTTCGTCCGGAGCATAACATTCTGGGTGAAGCATTTCTTGTTATGGCTTCCTCGGCAGGGTAATGTTTTTTGTTCACAATGAATTTTTATTTTTACTTCAGATTCTTAGATATAATCTTAAAATTGGTCTTGTGCACATGTCTACTCTCTGACAGATTTGAATGCGTTTAAATCCAACTCTATAGTGGGGTAAGTATCTTATTACTCACATTATCTTTTTGATAAAATTGATGATAAGTTGATAACATAACAAATAATTGGTTTGCAGTTTCCTCTTGACACATAAAAGTGTGGCTCTACCAGCACTGAAAATCTGTTTAGAAGTCTTTACCTGGACATATGGAGAAGTGACCACCAAAATCTGTAGCTTCTGTAGTGTTGTTCTTCTTCTATCTATACTAACGAATAACGTGGAGCTACGAGAGTTTGTTGCAAAAGATTTGTTTTCTGCTGTCATCTGCGGCTTAGGTGTGGAGTCTAATGCCATTAAAAGCAATGATTTAGTTAACTTATGCTGTGAAATATTTTTCCATCTCCGTGACAGAGACCCAGCTCCTCGCCAGGTGAAGTTTTAATCAGAAGCACTCAAAATAGAGTTGTATTCTACTTCATTTGCCTTGTTTTTTGATCGCTTATTCAATTGTTGTCAAGTTTTGCTTTCGTTCCCTTGTCTCGTTCCCAGTGACTTGCATGCTTTTGAAGAAGCTGCAGCAAAGCAGATGAAGGTGAACCAATAGGATTAGCCAGTGTTTTGTGAGATGAAGCCATAGGATTGTACATAACATAAACAGAGTTACTTGGAGGTATAAATAGAATACAGAGAAGCAGGTTTATGTTTAATGTATATGTCCTTACCTCCTTAATCACATTACTTGTTAGATCCATATAGAGATAGATAAGTGCACAATACATTACACACATGGGACAAGGGAACCTCTCCCCAAAACTTCCATGTTGTTATAAACAAAAGTTTTCTGATTTAGAACAATGTTTGAAACAAAGCAGATTATTTTAGCTAAGTACTTTTGTCGGCTTTCTATTTTTTTTTTTGTCAACCTGTCGGCTTTCTATTAAAAATAATTTCTATAACGTGGAGAACCGATTAGATCTGTTGATTACATTTAATTAAATTGG